TGTCAGCTTAAGGCCTGTTAGCTATAAAATAGAAATTTTATAGACAAGAAAAGAAGGAGTCAGTATGCAACAGGTTCAGTTTAAATTAATCTTCAAGTTGTGCCATTTCACTAATACTGTCATGTAACACTACAGTTTTGAGGCTGACAATGCAAGAAAAAACACAGTGCATAATCTGTGCTTTTCTCACTTACAATACACTGCAGCATGTGCAAACACCCAGTCCACCTGCCACACATCCAGCCTAAGAGGATAGCCACTACTGTATATTGTACTTTCAACTGGAGTTTTGCCTTAAATAGCTTTACTGAAGGATCGTACAAACATCCACTTTTTATCACAAAGAATAGAAAGATGGCCAGGTCACAAGTGAGAGAGAACAGGAATGCAGAGGCAACCTGAAAAGTAACACTTTGTATTGGTCTGTACACTGACTAGATCTCTTTATGTATCAGAATAGCCTTGATTATCCCTGTCCTAACTCTGCACTATTTCTGTTCTGGCTCTTGGGTTGCTGCAGGCAGCTTGAACCCACTTGGGAATGTAACTCCCGTTAGTATTTGTTGTAATTTTGCTCATTTCTATTACAGAATTCCTTCTGCTGTCTTTTTTAATTTGTAACTGGCTTTACAAGATGAAAGTTTAATAAATTATTGGATTGCACAGGCTGTATTCACTCTCAGACATTGTGTGCTCATGTTAAGGTGTTTACTCAGTGATCTAATACTCAGAACTTGTAAGTAAAAAGGAGGTATTAATGTTACGAGCGGATAACAGCCCTTCTCTCTGGAGGGAAATTTGCCTCTGAATGCAATTTGCCACTACAAGGTGTGAGGTTTGTTTCCAGGTTCTGCTGCTCAGTCAGGGGCTGGTTTTCACCCAAGGGCACATCACTGAAGCAGTAAATCTGCATAGGAACAGCTGAGCCGTCAGCGATACAGACTGCTCTAGCAAACAGCTCCTTCAATTCGTCCACAGGTATGGCAACAATGCAGTGATGCATAGTCCCCATCAACGTGCCCTTATACATCCGTTGGCCAGGTGCTCTGAGAGCCCTCTGGGACCCTGGAAATCACTCTATGCAAGGGGAGGTTTAGGTTGGAAATTAGGTGACATTTCTCCTCAGAAAGAGTAGTCAGACATTGGAATGGGTTGCCCAGGAAGGTGGTGGAATCACCATCCCTGGGGATGTTCAAGGAAAGGCTGGACCTGGTGATTAGCGACATGGTTTGGTGGAGGACATTGGTAGTAGAGTGATGGTTGGACCAGATGATCTTGGAGGTCTTTTCCAACCTTCATGATTCTAGGATTCTGTGAATTTCACTACCAATGGTTCACGGATTTTCAGTTTCTTCATGTTTAACACCTTGTGTAGTCTTTACAGCTCCTTACTTTAGATGGAAACTGCCTCTGTTTACTTCAGCAGTTGCTTTTCTTTCCTCAGCTGTCGCCCATCCCCACCTGTGATCCCCCAACCTCTTGGTCTCTCCTTCCTTTCTGCTTAGTAAGCCCCAAGCACAGGCAGCTCCCCTTTGTTTGGGCGGGTGTTGGGGACAGTGCCAGAACCGAACACGCACCTCTTATCCCACAACCCTCCCTAAAACACCCCATACCCGCTAAAACCCCTTTTAGGCAGCCCCATGCCCGCCATGTCGCCCCTCAGCCGGGCAGCCACTACGCACCCACTGCGCCTGCGCGGCGCCTGCCGCCATTTTGGGCGCTGCCTCAGCGGCCCGCCCAGGGGCCGTCCCTCGGCCGAGGCGGCCCCCGGGGGAGTCCCGCAGCCCCCGGGCGTTCCTCGGGCTCCTCGTCCCGGCTCCCCGCGTTGGGGTTGCGGGGCTGCTGGGCCGCTCGTCCTGCGCCTCTCAGGCTGGTGCTGCGGGTGGTGCTTCCCGGTCTTGTTCCCCGGCAGCTGGTTTGCAGGCTCCCGTGCCCGGTGGTGAGTTTATCTGGCGGTGCGCTCGCCAGTGGTGCCCTGGTGGTGTTTGTCGGGTAACTCGGAGGTTTTCTGTCTGCCAGTGCTGGTGTTTACACGTTAACCCTACGCCACAGCCTAAGTAGAACTATACTTTCTCTTTAAGTACTTGTATTCAGGGTGTCTGCAGGTGGCAAGTCACAGCTCTGGAGGCTGCAGGCACAGCCAGGTGTTCAGCGTGAGGCAGAGGCTCTAGGGGGCTGTGCGAGGTGAGGGACAGGGCGACAGGCACAGCACAGAAGAGGTGTGAAGCACAACAGCAGCCGCAGGAGATAAGACACAGCTGAAAGTTCAGGAGCTCAGCCCCTTTCCTCAAAGTAGCTCCTGATCCAAGTCGTGGGTAAATGTGCCCACGTATTACCCGTATACAGATAATTTACACTCTCCCTTGCAACCAAGTGCCCCAATGCCCATACCATACTTAGGAAAATAAAGGCCAATGAAGCAGCAGGCAGTGCAGGTGCTAACAGGGATGTCATTCAGCCGTGCACAGTCATGCAGGCGTATTTGTGAGTTCATCTGAATCAATGGCTTTGTAAGGTTAATCTGAGTAGGCATACAATGCTTGCTGCGTTTTACAGAGTATGAGAAGTGTTGCAGTTTTGCTTAAATGGTCATTTCATATCATTTGTTAAAGGGGAACAATGGCACAGGGCATATAGAAAGAGAAGCTAGGAGAAAGCAGGAGTAGAAAGAGCTCTCTTAGAATTAATGCAAGTGTCCTGAGATACAGCGTGTGGGAAAAGATCTTTGTTCTCACAAAAAATGTGCACGTTAAGGGGCCAATATGATGAAGAAAGCATATTTTGGTATAATTTATTTTCTATCACTGAAATGATACTTTCTTAAAAGTTACCATAGAGAAAATTATTGTATTTATGCTGAAAAGGAGCAAAGCTACCAACCAGCCATCGTTCTGATTGTATTTCTTTCTGCACTGCAAATAGAAATCCAGGACTTGCAGTCTGTGTTGCATTACCGTGTAATCACAACAAATGCATGTACCTCATCTGGTATTTCCCTAACCCTGCCCCCCGCAAGTTCTGTCAAAAAGCTTAGTTACTGGCAGATATTATAATAGTAGGCATAGGCATTTTCAATGTGAAAATACGATAAAGGGATTAAAAACAAGATAGTGGCGTTAATGCTATGCAGCATTTGCAAGTTAATTTCATATCAATAGTGAAATTGTTTTGTAGTGCTTTGTCAATTGCCAGTTGTAAAACTCTTCAGATCTAAATGGGAGAAGTCCGTTACAGTGACAACTGAATTTGTCTTTTGTGTACCTGATTGCCTGCTTTTCCTAAGCTTAGTTCTTTAATTTTGCTCATAGTTCTCTATCAAAGTCCGTTACATAAGTTGGTCAATAAGAACTTGCATTTTCTTGACAACAGAATGAATTGTGGCTTTTCGGTACTTAATGGGGACTTATAAAAAAGATGGAGAGCAACTCTTTGCTCAGTCAGATATTGACAGGACAAGGGGGAACTAAGAGGGGAGATTAAGATTAGAGATCAGGAGGAATTTCTTCACTCAGATGGTGGTGAGGCACTGGAGCAGGTTGCCCAGAGGCTGTGGATGCCTCATCCCTGGAAGTGTTCAAGACTGGGTTGGATGAGGCCCTGAGCAACCTGATTGAGTGGGTGGCGTCCCTGCCCACGACAGGGGGTTGGAATTGGATGATCCTTAAGGTCCCTTCCAACCCAAACCAGTCTGATTCTATGAATCAGACAAACTTTTATGAATATGGGGGTTACACTGTGCTCCATACACAGAGCAACAACACATGCATAAAGCGTCCAAACTGTAATTCTGACTTTCAGCAATACATATTGTAAATGTGGTCTTTATTTGCAACCATCAAATATATATATGTGTGTGTATATATATGTGGGTATATATATGTATATATGTATAATCACTGACAGGCCATGCAATTTATTTCCGCCATTCAAAAATGTTTGGATGTGTAACATATGTCCAGAGCAATGAGCAGATGGTACATTTGGTTTATAAAATAAAAAGGAAAAAAAATGATAGAAAGTGCAATAAATGCATCAGAGCCAGTGTTTGTGCATAAGCATTTGTGGTTGATACCTGCATGAGTTAAGTTACTGATACAGAAACTGTGTTAAAGTGAAAATGATGGTTGGTCCAGTGTCAGGTACAGTTTAACCTTTCTGTGACAGAGGATTTGGTGAGAGATGCTTCAGAGACTGTGCAAGAATCAGGAAAAGTAACCAAAGGTGCTGCTCCATTTGCTATGGGTCTTTCCATAGGAGTAAGGTCTTCAGTTGTAACAGGACTGTGATGCTCACGTCAGGTCATAAGTGTGCAAAAACCTTTGTGCATTTAGCTGAAGCTGTATCGTTTTTGTGTTGAACTACTGCAGTCCAGCAGTTTGTGCTTTAAGATGAAGGAGTTTTAAGACGTCTTCCCACTTCCACCGCTGTGTGACCTGGGGAATGTACTTTGTTTTTGTGTTTCTGTTTCCCTGCTCGTCCTTTGTCTTCAGTTCTTACATTAATTCTTTTGAGGCAATTGACCATGTTCATAGTCGTGCATAACAGGGTGTTTCTCCCAGCAAGGCAGTGCCTGTAGCTAGTAACATTGCCCTCTGGCCAGGTGTTAGGGATTTTAGGGGTCTGGAATTCAGAGTTTCAGGTGATACTTAAAATGAACACAGCTCATGCTTAAATTGCAACTGTCACAAGGCTGGAGGTATTTTAACTTTGCCTCCATTTTATGGGGAATTATGTTAGCTCTAATGCAGTTTATAAGGGCTCCTAAGCTGTTGTAAGAAAGCTAAGCTGTCTCATCTAGTGGCTCTACTGAGCTGTACCTTGATTTAAAAACAAAGGCACAGAGGAATGTTGCCTTTCTGGGCAAACCTTATCCGTGTAAAAACTATCTGTTTTAATTGTGATCACAGCTCCTGTGCTATGTGCTTTTTTTATGCAGTGATTAATAAGCTGTACCTTAGCTCTGATAACTGCTTCCATGGAAATAAAACCAGTGTAAGCAGTTTAGTGTTTTATTTAACTTTATTCTTTCAGTAACAATACTGCTAAATAATTTTCCTATATATTTCAAATAAAGTGGGTTATTCAGCTGCACTAAGGCAGTTGTGCTTGTTCAAATAAGAATCACCAGTGATTAGACAACTTGGGTATGATAAAACAAACATGAAAAGAGGGGCCTTGCAAAATTATTTACATCATCCGTAAGAATAAAATATACAAATATTTGGTTTTATTATAAAAAGGATATAGTCATTTGTTGGGTAATTAGGATTTTATCACTAATTTCAATTTCAGACTCGCACCTAAAAATTTTCAAAGTATAAACACCTATAAAACTAGTAAATCTGAAAACATGAATTTGTAAATATTTTTCCCCAATTATTATTGTTGTTAGAAAAGGACAATAAAACACCACTTTTAAAGTTTGTTAACTTAGAAATTTTTTGGCAAAACATTTATGCTTATAAGCTAAAACAAGATGACAGGCACCAGGGTTTGTTATGTTTCATACTTCTGGAACCAAGGAGGCTTAAGAAGGGAGGTGGGGATTATTTTCATTACATAGTAACTAGCATCAAGAAAGAAGAAAGAAAACGTCCACAATTGTGCCTAAGTACCAAAACAATGAAAGTGCTTATTTCTTCATCAGCAAACTAAAACAATGTTTCCTTTACTATGCCCCTTCACTCTATTTTAACAGGCTCTAAAGTGATATCTACAGAAAGTTCTCTATTTCTCAGTACAGATGATAAACACCTGCTTATCAAAATAGTGCAAAAAGGAACAAAGAAAAGTGCTGTCAACGTAAGTAAACCGCAGGGAAAAAAACACAGCTGAATATTATGACCTTGCAATGTTGCTTTAGAGAAATCAGTAGTACGCTTTTTCAGCATGTCAGACCAAATGTATTCCTATTTCCCATATCACACCATCATTAGATGGGGAATGGATTTGGTCTTTTGCATATACTCCTTCATAAAAGTAACCGTGTCTGTTCTGACTTTCGTACTGCACGTTTAAGAAGTCTAATGACTTCTGAAACAGTCAAATCACTAGAATAACATTTACAATGCTGTCTTCCCTTTTTCCCTTTATAACTTTCTTCGGAGTGCATAGAAAAGGCCACAGTGACACATTCCATACAAAAATCAAGTTTAAGTTTTATGTAAAATACTCAAGTATTTTTAGCATTTACATACGCAACTTAATTTACCATACATTCTTTCTCACTCCTTCCTTATATCTTTATCTTATTTCTTGGACAGACAACAGATATTTCACCTTATATAGTAAAGCATTTAACCCTAGTATAAACAAGAGCATTACTGGAGGTACAATGTCAGGAGCATCTCATTACAGAACATGGAACACCATCACTGCAAACTCCTGTCCTCAGGTGTCACAGTGCAACAGATCATAAAATGGAGGTCTTTTCCCTGTTTTATCCACAAGAAAATCACTCGGGTCTAATTCCAGAGTAGTTTGAAGACAAGCTAGAGTGTGATAGATCTTCCTCTAAATACTACTCTAGGTGCAGTTTTCTTAATGTTTGTCTTAATCAATGCTTAGCTCTAGATACTGATTTTCACTGTAAACATTTCTGCTATTTGTGCTTTTAAAACTTTGTGAAAGGACTTGTAAAAAGAAACTGAATAATTTACTTGACAGTTATATCACAGGATAAAACACAACATTGATGCCTTTGCTTTTATAAGGCTAAGGTTTTTAATTATGTCTTGAGTTTTGCTTGTGCTTGCAGTTAGCCCTTAGTGGGTAGTTTTACTACTCCTGCTACCTTTGGGGGATAAGATTAGTTATTTGCCAGCTTGCCAGTCTCAGACTTAAAATATTCTACATTTATTTAATTTACTCGTAGATAGCATGGCTTTAGTACAGGGTATTCCCTATAATTCTTTGCTCAAAATGTGCATTTTGCATTCTAAGATTCTTATCTCACCATTATAACATGGTTTTTTTCATGACTTCGAGGGGAAAAAGTAGCAGTATGATCTTCCTCCACTACAACAAGAAAATCTAAAGTCTAGTTGGATAGGAAGGAATGCTTAGTTGCCTTATAACTCCTTTCTCCCCTACTGTATCAAAATTTGTAATAGCTTTCTAGAAAAGTTGCTACACAAAAATGGCTTGTCTCCTATTTATAGTCTTTGTGCTAGCTGCTACAGGGTAAATCCAGTGCTAGCTATCAAAACGTTACATCATTTGGCCTGAAGTTATTGAGTGAAAATTGTACAAAAGTGACAGAATTCATGTAGCAATTTTACATGCATTCAATATGGTGATGTTGCATAAGTACTATTGGCACAAATTATTTCATTAAAAAACGTTTTCCAGTAAAGAGAAGGAAAATAATACTCTAAATTAAAATATATTACAGAACTCCAGAAACCTTGTACCTTAAACTGAGGCCAAATGTAAATGGGCTTGAAGAAAAATTGCACACTTGTATAAAAGAATTTAGCCCCCATGAATAGCCTTATTACTTTTTCAAAAAGAAGTAACAAAACATCAAGTAGTTCATTCCTTGTGGCTTCACACAGTGAAGTTCATGCTAAATTGCCTAGAAGGAACAGGTTCTCAATAGCTATCTTTTGTGAACACATCATCAGTTTCATCATCATTCATCCCTCTTTGGTAACGTACTGAAGAGAAGGCACTCCAGTGAAGACGCTTCTTTTTGTAGAGAAACCACACTAATCCGACAGCGAAGACTAAGATAATTAACAGGGCAAATGCTACAGCCACCCCAGTATGATTAGAACCTGTAACAGAACAAAAAAATTGTTGTTACTTAAAGAGTTTTGGTAAGAATATTGCTTTCATGGGGTTGGTGCTTAGGTAGCTATACACTAATACCGTATGCATTTATGTAGGAGTCATTTAGCTGGAGTAAAGGCAAACCGTTTCAACGTATTAATAGACTTCACCTTATCAACTGGAAGTTCGGTTCTCATGTGAATCAGTATTTAATTGTCTATTTTGATTAATCTGCTTAATGCTCAAGTGATTGCTTCCTTTTCTGGACAGAGCAGAATGTGAGGAATTAACACGAGGCCTGAGTTCTTTGTTTGTTTGTTTTTGTGTTTTTTTCTGGAGCTGTGTGACCATTTTCAGAAGCTTCCTCCAGACTGAAAACAATCTGCAGTACCTGTTTACCCAGCTTCTCTTACAAGCAGAAGTCTTTCTGTACCTACCTGTATGGACCCGCCCATGAAAGACACCCTCTGGTAAGAACTAAAAACACAGGAACTACTCTATGCTGTCTCTTAAGTGTGAATTTCAATTCTCTCCCTTACCCTATTATAAGTGGACAGTGGGAGCTGGGAGAGGTAAATTTCTAAAGAATTTGTCCTTTTTTTCTCATCAGTATACTGTCTTAGCTGAATGTAATTTTATGACAGAACAGTCACAGAAGGCTCTTGTTTAAGGCAGAGCTACTTGATAGGTTCTTGTGAGGTTTGCACTTTTTTTTTTTTTTTTTTTTTTTTTTTTTACTTTAAGAGACTTCCTCCACTGCAAAAAGAATATCTTGAATGTAGTCACTACAGTATTAAGTCTCTGCTAAAAATCAATTTTTCCATACCTAAAGGAGCTTTACAAACCACTCTGCTTTGGCTACGACTGCAGTCAACTTTGGACCATGTGCCAGTTGTGGACAGGATAACACTGCATTTTTCATTGAGTTCTGTGCTTCTGTTTTCCCAGTTGGCATAATTAACTGATGAGCCATCAAGCCAGTACAGGGACTGATCTGTTGAGAAAAATTTGCTTAGTTAGGTCACCAAAATATCCCTTAATGTTACAATGAATGTAGCTCACAAGCTATTGAACTATTACTTTACACTGCTAAAAGAATCAGAGCTGAGAATATCTATTCTGTATATTTAAAGCAATAAATATGAACACATCACTTTTAGCCACACCTCTTCTCCAGACCTGATTTGGACAGAAGCGACAGCACCACGAAGCATCAATGAGAGCGTTGGAGAAAATGAACTTCACCGATTCCTGACTATCTCAGGTGAGCAACAGGAAGAGACTTAACACATGACAAAGTCCAAAGGGCTGTGCCCTGCTAAGTGAGGGATGCCACCCTCAGACAGGAGTTACTGTAGGCAACCACTACTACAAAACTGTATTCTTATTTGAGGATTTATACATTTTTATTTACCATATGAAACATTCATGTTTATACATGGTTGCTGCTTCTTACCCTTAGAGTTCTGAGTCAGTCCAAGCCATACTTTCTTGGTGATGAGATCATTCTCCTTTATGTGTGTGCTCACGAATGCATTTTCTTCAGCATCTCCTATGGTCAGAAGTGTTGCTGAAGGATCTAAGGGGAAGAGGAAAATGGTCAGAATTGTAACTTTAGAAATTTCCATTGTGCTCGTACATTAAGCTTCCTGGGGGAACAATTACATCAAGAAAAAAAATAATGATCTGGGCTTCTATGATTAATTGAAGTAACCTGCAAAAGAAAGACAAACCCTCCACGCCCTAAAATACAGTGTAGTGCTACACTAGATAGCTTCAGATGACTCGTTATTCAAGCAGGTCTTATGAAATAAAATGCAGTTAACTTACTGCAGATATGGACTACCTACATGGAAGATAATCAAAAGGTATATCACTGATTCAGAATTTCTAGTCTTGTTCAAGTGATAATCCCTTTTGCAAAAGGCTCAGCATTTTGTTGAATCGAGTTATTTTCTAAATCACTTGTACCTCTTTTTTTTTTTTAATATACAGTGTTAAATTAAGGTGTAAGAGGAAGAAAGAGGTACACTGGAGTCAAGACCCAGTGTACCCATTCTTTACCACTATATGCAAATATAAGCCAGAAGCTTAATTTAGGGAAAGATTACTTTCTCTTTGAGCCACCAGGGCAGGCTGAAGAGAAAGGTGAATTCAGAACTGGGTCTATTTGCACCTTTTCTTTTTTGCCTCCTACATAGTGAGTTTAACATTATATCATATGATTACAAAAGTTGCGACAGTCACTACCTTCTAAACTAAGGTGATCAAAGATTCTGTACATGCAGTTGCTTAACATTGTCTTTTGTGATACAATCCCCACATAGCTTATCAAACAGGAGAGAGATTCCTTTAATTTGACAGAAAAAGTGTTTTTTAGTAACATCTATAATGTATATTATCTATAATCTCTGGACTATTTGATAGGGATATCTCTGCAGGCAACTAATGAAAGCATATGTGTAAGAAAGCACTGCTAAAAGCACTAACTTTATTTCTAAAAAAGTTATTTGTATAAAATAAAAATTTTCTTTCAAACTGTAAACCTTAAGTTTCTGAATCCTCCATGAATGAATATCTGCATTTTCTTGCAGATATCCATGTGCCAACCAAATTGTCAGCACACTGCAGAGTTTTATCAAGGGCCTTAATCAGATGTTCAAAGGTAAAGCTACCTATTAGTTTTCCTAAATAAAAGAAGGAGAGCTGAAAAGCTGAAGCATAGCCAGTGTATGGCTTTCATTCTTGTTTTTAATTCTTTTGGTATAATAGACTAATTACAGATTGTAATGTGATAAAGAGTCTACACATACTCAGTTTCTGGCAGACTTTCTTAGCATCTTCCGCATTATATACTGAAAAATTGTAGAACGCCATGTCAAATGCGTAACAGTGATCCTTATACTGTATCCACTGTAGCGTTCCACTAATTTGCGGGCATCCTGGGGCTTGACTCGCTTGCTTTTGCTGTAATTGTCTCTCTGGAAAGATAAAGATATCAATGTTATTTCTGCTGCAGGAGTTTGTGCAGTTTCTTTGTTGTAGTAACATGAAAGTATTAACAAGGACTACTGCTCCTACTAACATCCATTATTCAATCAGTATATTAATATATAATTATAATACCTCATATATTATAATTATATAATGTATGATTACATATAATAGTAATATATTTATATATAATGTAATTTATGGTATATAATATATTACATTATATATAATAATCTGTAATCTATAGTATGATATATATAATTAATTAATATAATATTATAATGCATTGATATACTAATATAATAATATTATTAGTATGTAATTCTTCAAGTCTAGTAGAATTGTTTAAAAATGGACATAAGACAAGTCCCAAAGACTTGGGAACCTTTTTTCCCTTGTCTTTTATGGTGTTTTGAAGTTTGGTTTATGTTTGATATAGATTTGATTAAGAAAAAGATCAACACTTAAGTGTATGTCAGAGGTGACCAGGAGAAGACAAGGATTGTTTTAGGTTTTTACCTCTAGAGAATGAGTCTCCAATGTTCTATCATCCCTGCTAGAATCTTAAAAAATACACGTTTGTCTTTCAGCCTTTGTTTCTATCTCTAAATAAAACATGTAAAAGTAGAATACAGAAGATAACTACATAAAATGTTGGAAAGTAACACTTACTGTTTGGAGGGCTATAGCAAATGGCACCTTCAGCAACATTTGTACATTTTGTACGGTTCCAAGATCCTTTAGTATCCAACAGAACACAGTTCTCAGTAGTATTTGAGTTTTCTAATTCCCATGGATAGTAGTCAAAATCAGTTCCATCTGACCATTCAAAATTAGCTTTACTTCCCTAATTAAAGAAAGAAAACTACAATTTTTAAGCTGCAGTACATGGTTGTGGTTTAAATCTTGTCAGTCATTAATAAGTCACGTAGCAATAGTTATCACTTGATGAGTGATAAATTAAAATTCAGATACCTCATTCTCTCAATCCAAGCAATTCTTAACATAGGAATCCTACCAGTTTGTGCAAACTGTGAAACCATAGCACCTTTCCAAGTTTAAACCTGCAGTGTGCCTTGTAATATTCTGCAGGGAACGTTTTACTTAATGTAATTCTGCTGTTCCATTTAAGCAGTCTGTCTTCCTTTCTGTGGAGATTACTAGACGTGTTGCAAACTGCTGAACCGCTGGCATGGCTGCAGTGCATAAAGCAGGCCAGGCTCAGCAATGGTTTGCAGTGTCAGCTCAAACTGTAGATACAGCGATGGAAACTCTTGACAATGAAGAGACAGTTATGAGAAGTGGGAGACCCGTTCACAATCAAAGGAGGAGCAGAAGTAACAAAGGTAAGCATAGAAAACACACTTCCGCTCTCTCTGCAGAGGACTATCCTGCCAACCAACTACCACTACAAGTTCTGGAGGCAGATTTGGGGAGTACTGTGGGAAATGGGTTTGGGACCATGTGCTTTTGCTCTCAGGACAAGCAGACAGAAAAGGAATAATGATCTGTAGCTTGGCCTTCTGGAAGAAGGGATGCATAACTTGCTAGAGAGCCAATTCCTGAATGGCCTTGAAGAACCAGTCCTGACATGCACTAAACATGCTCCATTCAGCCTTGCTTGATTGTATTATTTTAAAGTTTCAAAGATTAAGAAAAAATAGCAGCAGTGTCTCTACATACACTGAAATTTAATATGGTTTAATATATGTTACATGGAAATGGAGCTTCTAAGGATCTGGAAGAGAAATATGGGAAAATATTTGATGTCACATACAGGATAGTATTTACAAAGTCTTACTGAGGTTACCAACAGTACATACTTACATCGTGAATTGACAACCCAAGCCACAGAGGATAGCCATCCTGCTTGACAATATCTTCCAGAAATAACTGTTCTGATTCACTGTGTACACTTGCTAGATCACTTCTGTTTTGTTTGCATTCTCTCAGTGCCTCATACCACGTTAATTTTTTCTGAAGGATCCTGTATGTTCTGTTTCCATGTGGAATAGACTCAGGCAGTCGAGGTTTGTGCTGCTGGGGTCCTATTTCAAAGAAAAACAAGACAAACTGTACACTTCATTAATATTACTAAGAACATATGGAAAGTATTAAAATTAATCTGTAACAATGCAAGACGAGTTATTTTTTTTTTCAGTGCAAGCCACTTAATATTATGTAAAATATCTTTCGCTATTTTGAACATTACAAACAGCCAATGACGGAGTACAGCAAACACATTCAGTCTGCTCAGAATATTGCAGTAGTTATGCACAGACTGACCCTATACCAACAGGAGCCCGTAAGAGCAGTGCCACATGGTTAAATGGGAGCAAAACCAAAGCCTTGTACAGAAGGTGCTGCAGGACCAGAACTTAAATTACGAGCCTCATCCAACACTCCATAAATTGTACATGAATCTTCTCTACAACTTACCCCTTTCAATTTTACAGGCAAGAATACTGTACACATTATAGTGATGAGCATGCCAACTTTGAGAATAATTATAAATATCCCAGAAACCATCAAGATTTACACCAGCAAAAAAATTGTTCTTCTTTATGGTAGGTCTTCCCAGCCTCCAGTTATTGTAAGCCAGATGAGTTTCATCATACCACTTCAGAACTTTGTCTGTGAAAAATATTGCATATTTATCAAGCCATTGTCATTATGCGTACAAATACCATTTAGCTTTTAATGACATTAACAGATAGATATTCACTTTGGAAAAAAATCAGTGATGCTCTAAGTTACTCTAAATTAGTTCTGTATACAATGCTAAACACATTAGTATTACTCATCCAGGCCCTTTTACATCCTGCTTTCCAGGAAATCAAATCTAGATGAAACAGAACATACTGGATTTAATTATCACTCAAACAGAAACCATGTCCATAACTATTTTCTTCTAGAAGATAAATACAAATATAAATCATTATTATATGTTTGTATTTGGTTTGAGTTTAGCTATATGCTGAAACACGCACTTAATGCTGCAAACCATCTCCAATCTAGTTATTACAAAAAAAAAAAAAAGACAACTTACCACTGTCGTCATAAATTACACCCAGCCAGACCCACATAGCCAGACCGCTGAATGAATGAAGCTGCTCAGTAACAAAGTTATTCTCTTCTTCATCTCGAACACTCAGAACAAATGCTTCTGGATCTGTTGAATTTATTTATTTTTTTAATTACTTTCTTACAGATTCACCTTTCAGTTACAACAAAGTATTTTTCACTGCTATTATTAACTACTAAAGATAGGTTAAAAATACATAAAAGCAAGACAAAAGAACCAAATGAATAGTGGGAAAACAATTCTCAAAGACGTTATCAACAGTGCTTCCCCTGGTTTTGTGGCTAAGACTCATCTCCAGAAATTTTTATGGGTTCTACCATCTGTAAAGTTTTATTTTCCCTTCACTATTCCTCCCTTTATTATTTTAGTAAAAAACGGGTGTATAGAACACAAAGCTATCAGCAATTGTTCACAATGTTCTTAATACTTTTTATCTAGTAGGCAGATTAAGAAAAAGACTGAATTGAAATCAATTAATGAAAAATCAGTTTATGTAAATACGCATGTCTTTGAAATGCTAAAAGAATTACTTAATATAAGAGGGAAGCTGCTCCTAAGCGTACGCTTTGTTCAGGATGAACAGGAAAAGCCCACGTGCTTTTCTGAATTGGACTATTCTCTGCCTGTTTACTTTGTTCACTTTACTGTTCCACAGGAAAAAAAAAAAGTACTTGTGACTGTAAAGACAGAATGGTGCCAAGGGGATAACAATTACCCAAACCATTTAAAATTTGCATATTTTAAATTAAAAAATGTGTTTTCAATTTTTCAGAGATCTCAGAATTCAGCAGTTCCTAGTTATCTCCCTCTCGAACACATGGCCTTGCACTTTTAATCAGAGTAGCATGAGCACAAACAGCATCAGGCAGTGCAACACTAATACACATATCCAACTGCACAGCCTTCCTAAACCCTCACTTTTTTAAGACAGTGACTCAGATCTAAAACTAATCTCCCTCAATCTGGTATGCCCTTAGATACCTGTAATATAAAGAAGTACTTACTCATTTTCTTGCATAAATGATGAGCTTCTTGAGACTTCAGTTCTTGCCATCTATTTTTTGTTATCATAAAAGTGTAGCAGTTGTTTCTAAATGATATCCAGGGTGTATTTTTAATCTTATGTGGGCACTTAACTTGTGTAACTTGTTCTTTTTCATTCTTCTCTAAATAAGGAAAAACATTATTAAAACAATTTTACACACCACAGTACATTTTCAGGTAGCATTTTAAAACAAGCAAGACAAAAGTGTTGCCCTCTGGACGTGTAATGTGTTACTGTTTTCAATTTCTTTGTGACAGTGAGGTTTGTTTTTGTTGTTTTGTTTTTAAGTAACTAAGCAGTGAGCATTACAAAAGAATACAAACCCTTACAGCTTGCGCAACTGTTAGGTTATATAGGTTTAAGAATAAAATCACTACATAAAAATGCTAAGCATGAACGAGTAACTAAAAGCTCTTACTGCCTTTTGTATGAAGGTAGATCACCATAACAGATAAGCTATTCCATAGCTGGCAATACAGCCTAGTTCTATGACTTTGTTTAATACTTGATAAGTGAGAAGAACTCTTCTTGTAGTTGATTAGAGTGGAAGCACCACTTAATTAAAGATGTCATAATCTCAAGTATATACTTTACTGTGACTCAGTATGTACAACAATAGTTTTAACTGTCTTCTCACCAAATTATTATTAATGTTCTCCTAGAAGAAATCTGTGATAATCTGAGATGTTTTTCTCTTTGAGAAAGGAGTCATGCTACATATGCATCCCCCCCAAAAGCTGTCCTGCTATAATAGATGTATATTTAGAACAGTTTATGTGAACTGAAGATGACTTTAATTTGCACCTTTCAATTCAGTGTCTACCTGCTGTCTTTCTCCTCCATATAGTCAGGTATCTCTTACTCTTTTTAGACTTGAATGACTGAAGAGGTCTCAATATTAAGATGTTTATAGTACAGAGGTAGCTCAGTCATCTTCCACATGCAAGTTGGAGAGATTAGTATGCAATGGTATTAAAATAATGATACAAAGGTAGAATCAATTAACAATATAAAGGGTATAGTCTACCCCAAAACACTTATGCTGAGTTCCTTTTTATGTAGCCTGTGGATTAAGATCAACAGGTGCATATTACCCTATTTTAAACAAGCTAGTCTGAAGGAATGTAATTTTAAAAAGTTTTAATTTTGAAGTTACAATCTGAAATTTTCAAATATGCTTCACCATAAAACAAAATGCACCTTTTGGAAGTATTTTACTTGCATACATACTTTCTGATGAGTAGCATATAACACCTCTGTTTGCAGAGGAACAGTCAGAAGTTTTCCAGAAGCCATCAATATCCAAAAACACACATTCTTCACTTGTTTCTTCATCCTCTTCAGACCAGCGACTAAAACTAACGTGCTTCCCATCCAACCAGCCGTAATGTTTTCCACCCTAGCATTGTACAAATAAAATTGATCAGCTTACATAGTAAATAAAAATAAAATATATATAATATGCATATATAAGGTACAGAAAACAAGATAACACATTTGCATTGGCCAGAGAGTGCTAAACAGATGGCATTCACAATGTCTCTCTCTGGTGTGAACTGTTAAATGTTCTGCTACTCTCATTTTGATCTGTTCACAATATAACAAGCTTTGTTGTTTTAAGTTTTGCAGTTGCAAGAATATGAAACAGCTGAAGTAGATGACAAATTATCAAGTGTTAATGTTTAACTTCTATGCTTATGGAGGAAGGCCAGGCAATGAGATGTCCAAATTACATCATTTGCATTTGTAAATCAATGGCAGGTCTAATTATCTGGTCTTGGAAAACTGATAATATCTGAAAACAAAGTTTCTCCACAGAGAGTTGAAAGTGATCTATCAAGTATTTAACTAATTAAATAAATAAGATGTGTTTCTGCCCTGGAGGATGCAGGAGGAATAAGAAAAATCCACATGCAACAACCTTGGTACCCTTTAAGAACCTTACATTTTAAAGTTTTCCTCAGGAAATCTCCTTGACTATTTGTAATTTAATGTATTTTGTATCTTTCATGTGTAGGATTCCAGCACTGGAATAATAAGTTTTGTTGATCAATTTCATTAGAATTGCCTTTCATGTGACTTTTTAGTTGTGCCTGAACAGCCAAGCATTCCAATATTCAAAAGCTAGTGCATGTCTGAGCTGTATGCACCAAAATAAATCATTTGATTGTCACATCAAATTATTAGGTTTTAATATTAGGTTAATATTCAAAGGAGGAGGGAAAAAAGGTTGTTCTGGTCTCTTCATCTTCATTAAGACTAAATGCCTATTTCCTTTTAAAAAATATTCTCCATGAAGTGTACACTGAAATTTCTATTTTGTTTCCTGCTTTGCCTTGAATACTCAGTAGCCAATTACTGACATAGGAAGATCGTAATACCACAGATGCTAAGTGAGCACCAACCTTTGCAGGTAAGGCTTTTTTCAAACCAGTTTTAACTTTTTTCTTGCAATTATCAAGACTCGTGTTCAGCAAAAAGATAACCCTGCAAGCAAGCCCAGACCTGTTCATTAACAGCTAGGAGTGCTTTCAATCCACACTGAAGATCACCAGGAGGTCCTCTGGCTAATAAAGGCAGAACAGTAAAGCAGTACCTCCTGCACTGACTTTTCCAGAGATTTTAAAAACAAACAAGCACAGACACAGAAGAAGAAAAAAAAATGCATCTCTTTGTCTTCCTCAAACTGTCTCCCTCAAACTCAAAGCAGAAGTACAAATAACATGAAATAACAACAGAGTTTAACATAAACTTTATAAATATATCTCCAGAAGTATTCAATTATTCATTCTGGATTTCATTTGCCACTTCTAGTTTCTCCTTTTTAAAGCAGAATTTGAGTTGACTTTTTACAGTGGTAGTGTAAACAGTGCTGATGATACTAAAAGACTATATTATTCGTTCATTAACAAAAGAGACAAAAGGTAATACAGTGACCTGTATTGATGCTACCCCTACAATATGTCCCTTCTTCCTATAATCTTTTAAAACAATTGTCTCTTCTTCATCAATCTATTCAGCAGAGTCCAACAACTGACTGTAACTCAGAGAACAGAAGATTTAGAACATTAATCTTGAGACCCTCTGGATGATTATCACTAAATGAAAAGTTACCCCATAATTAATGTGTTACTGCATTTTTTAATCCCAGTTTCTATTTCATACAACTCTAAAGATGACTTTAAGCTACAGTCTGAATAGAAAATAAAACTTACATCTCTGCTGAAGAGCCCAATCCACAGCGGTTGATTATGAAGGGCAGCCTGAACAGCCAGAAAAGCCTGCTGGAACTGATCTGTGATGCTAACCAGCTGCATCTTGCGATTTATGCATGCAGCCATTGCATCATCCCAGGACAAATTCTTCAGAATTACTTCGTATTGAACGTTTTGATAGCTGAATGTTTCATTAAGGACTTGCTCTGTCTGATTATCAGCAGCTCCTATGCCTAAATAAGAAATACAGTTATTAGATGGTTAAACAATGGAATATATTCTAAATTCCCAATTTCTCTGTAATAAACAGAAAAAAAACAACACTGTTTATATTCCCCTGGAAAAAATATCAAAAATACTTTCTTACGAAGTAGATTATGCTAATGATTTTAGTTAGGAACAAATATCTTTTACACTTTAGACAGAGAATATATAACAGCAAAAAAAGCAGGAAGGACTATTTTCAGCCACTCTATTTTTATCTCTCTCTTAACTTGGCTTCACACATTTTTTGTGCCAGCTATTTTTATTTAACTGCTAAATAGTGGTAAAAATTTCATTTATTGAAGAAAAAACATACTCCACAGCTTCAATCAGATACAGCAGTGGGAGAAAATGACTGCTCTCTGCTGCAAGATAGCAACTGCTATACTTGATTCATTTATCTCTGTGGAGCCTGTGAATTTATGCTTATGCAAATCCAATGGGCCATAAAACTTGTCTATACAGATCTCACAGTGTACAGCACAGTCCCAGAGTTTCTTACTGCCATCCACACGCATACTGGGAATTGATTTTGTTTCCATATGCACTTAATTAATTATAGAAAATCCACTTTGAATAGGGAAGGGTGTAATTTACCGTTTGTGTTCTTAGCACTGAGCCTCGCCAGTTATCAGCATCATTCTGAAGGCAGACAGCTCAGTGATGCGTTGCAATTGTAGTTAATAAAATATGCAAACATTCCCTTGGGTGGTAAATTAAAGCATGCAAAGCTAGTAACTCCCCCAAATTTATACATAATAAATAAATACATTTTTCCCCAAAAAAGGCAGAAGAAACTTGACATGGAAGCATAAAAAGGCTTGCTGAGAGAGGAAAAAACACTTCAAATAATAATGTAAAAATGGCTAATTGGTAGGCTGACAGAGCCATTTTTCAAAACACAAGAACAGAGAAAAATAAATATACATCTGGTATTTATGCACTATTTCCAGCTTTCAGTAGACCATAAAAGCGAGAAGGCTGAAATGGACTATTAGAATGAAGTTGCTTGTGTCTGCTGCTAAATGCTTTCACTTGATATACAGCCAGCAAAAAAAGAACTATCGGACCAGAAGAGTAACCACATATCAAAGGGTACCAAACCGAAAACAAGTTAGTAAGGGGCAGAACAGTAAAAGTTCGTTTCTGAGAGAGAAAAGACGTAATTGCTGATGATGAATGTCTCAAGAAGTTGTGCAAATAACAAATCATACCAAGACTTCTTAGAAATCTGAGTTGTCTTTTTCTCTAGGATAAAGCTCAAGGCAACTTGGACAGGTCTCAGCTATCCCTGCAACCTTCTGAGGTCCCTTTCCACACAAGTCACCTTAAGACCCATATCCCCAGTGACCGGGATACATACTCTGACAGTCCCAAACCCTTTCTCATTACATCTTCTACAGTTCTGGCTAGGAGGAAATGCTTACTATTTTAGTTAACCCAGACTGATAATACACCGATCTCTGCAGATCAACTTTCTATTAATAAAAATCTAATTTTCAGTTTGTTTGTTTTATTTATGACTACATCTCTCCCAGCTAGACTTCAAATTTGGACACTTGGAATTTCCAAAATGTTTGGCACTGGAATAAAGAATATTTTTTATGTTAAATAAGGGGGATAAGCTTGCTTTGCCTAGTTAAGAAAGAAGAAAAAGAAGAAGGTGAATATTTTCTTGGGTGTTTTTTACACAGCTTTTTTTTTCCCCTAAGAAGATAGCAAGTTAGTTACTTAAGAGGGTTAATTACATAGAAGTACATACTCAAAAGTGGGTATGCTGAATATTAGCCCATAGCAGTAATTAAATGCAAGAGTAGATATATTTGTTTGATCTAGTTCCAGTAATTTGTGCCGAGCAACCTACATGGCTGTATCGGAATATTATTTTTAATTCAGATTAAGAAACCCTACTCATGCCAATAAATCTATGAAGCTACAGAAAGCCACATCACTGCAGATTATCACTCTTCATGTAAGCCCTCAAGGTTTGCTCTGGGGAGTCCGATTTCAACTTCAAGAGCACATGATACCTCCTATTCTGATAGTGCTAAAAGGACAGGAGACGTTTAAGTATGGTGAAAATATTGTGAGATTCCTCCCCAGGACTTCCATCTTCCACAGTTCCAAGGGGAAAGGAGTCACTTGTTCTAGCCATTGATGTACATGACATCTATACCCCCAGAATGTTAAAGCTCCTATATGCTGAAGCATGGTTTCAGTGAAACCACACAGTCAGTACCTCTCAGGAAAACAGATACCTTCTGACATGTTCTTTGAAAAACAAACGGGGAAATTCTGAATAGCTGATAAAATTTGTCCCACATCATCGCCCTTTCACACTATGCTTTTCCAAAACGAACCTGCTCAGTGTCTACAAGAATCTTGCTCTTCAAGTGCAATGATTTACATGTATTAAGAGGTCTTCTGGCATACGCATCTTAACAGCAGACTCTGGCTCTAATTTATTTAAATTATTTTGACTCTGCAGACTTACCTGTAGGCCGCTGGCATATACCCAAGAAATGCCTGTCAGCGCAAGCAGTGAAATTCCATGTTCCAACATACTGAGACTTGGGATCGTTGAGGATTACACCACATTGATTGTTAAATTCTTCATCAAAAAGCTGAAAGTCATAGACACACTTATCAGACAAAAATAAAGTATAAACATACTCGTGTAGAGAAAGTGAAAGAACATGAGGCTAGGAGAACTTGATCTGTCTGAACTTGTTTAAGAAGTTTCAAAGGAGTGGTGCAATACAGCTTGCCTATTTTACAAACACTACCAGGTGCTTAGACTCAAAAAGAATTCATAAGCTAAATATGGGGGAAGAACATTAAATGAAAAAAATTAACACTTAAAATAAATCTTGTTCGTGGGTATGATTCCACTATACTTATTATGCTTCGCCTTGGTAGAGCAGCATGCTAAATACCGATGCATGATGGTTTACAGATGCTAAGTATAACTGAACTAATAATTATCGATGGCATCTTTTTGATGACTGTTTTTATGTAGTCTTTAAATTGCAGATAGCAATTACAGAAGTCATTAAATAGTTGTTTGTTTTTGTTTTTTTGTGTGTGTGTGTGTGTGTGTGTATTTTTTTTTCTTCTTCACCTTTTAGTGTTTCATATATCAGTTCAGAAGACATCATACAAATAAAGGTCCAAATAAACAGAATTCCATTACTTTCAGTCACCTTGTCTGCTAATTAAAATCACCACTTGAGGGATCTGGTCTTTTTTTTTTTTTTTTTTAATCTTTTTTTCCCCCTTTTACTTTTGAAAGTATTCCAACTTTCATTTTTCAATAGTCAAGAGAAGTTTAGTAGTCAAAAGTCAGAACTTACATCCAGAGGAATTTTCCTTAGTCTTCCTGTCAGGAGTGGGTGAAAATTACTATACAACAGTTTACTCCCATCTATCCATTTGTTTTCTCTTGTGCTGAACAAAAACTGCAAGCCAATCCAAATATCTTTTGGCATTTCAGGAAGTAAGGATGTTATAAAATCTGTTGGACAAAACAGTAAACATGTACACATTGTGGTTCAGACAACAGCAAACACCTGAAAAAACACTTTGCATAAATAAGATAACCCCTACTTTTATCAGCTTCATTTTCCTAGTCCTTTAAGATTCCCAAATGCTCATCATTGCCTTCTTTCATAATAAACCCCAAAGGCATTGTCTTTTATCTGAAGGGAGTAGTCTATTGGTATTTGTGCTACAAATTTTCAGCTGAGGAGCAAGGAGTATATTTAACTTGTTTTTGCCTTCAGTGCTTTGTACCCTTGCAATTACACAAATTTCAGAAGCTGCTTTTCCACAAGTCTGCATGATCTTCTATTGTCTCCCTGCAGAGAGAACTTGAGTTCTCTCCTTCCCTCTCCAAACTGATGAAGGAAGTCATAGCTCCACCTTTCCCTCCTACTGACATACCCCATAAGGCAGAATCATTTCTTAGGTTCTAGCAGAGTTTGCCTACCCCATCATCAGAGGAAGTAAGACTGGACAAAGGAAGCAAGGATTAGATGGAAAAAAAAATCAGACAAGGAACTCTTAAACCAGAGCCCTCTTACCAAGCATTCTGGAATGAAACAATGGCCTTCAGTGAACCCCCCAGGCACCAAAAGGCATTCACTCAGCTTATCTAGATCAGGAAGACAAACTGAAGCTATGTAATTAGCTGCTGCTGACATGTCTTAACTACTGGCCACATGCGAGCCTCAGCCTATTTTCTAAGCCATACAAATCCGTGGAAGATTTACATGTCAGAACTAGCCACCCTCCTAACACCGATGGGACCAGCCCACAGAAAGAGGTAAGCTCATTTACAATTGCACCTTTTTTCCATGTACATGGACTTCAGTACTGGGGGGAGGAATGGCAAGGGACAAATAAAAACTGCAGTCTTCACAGTACAAAGTCTACAATCTCAGTTGTTTTTAACAAGCAAAGCAAAACATGGAAAATTTTCATTCAGCAGTGACCCTTCTCTCCTTGTTCTTTAATGCAAGGTTTTACTTTTTTTTTCCCCCCCAAATGAGTTTCCATGTTTCTAGCAGCACAGACAACAACAGACAACACATTTTTAAGCAGTCTTGGATTTTTAGAATGCTCCTAGTATGCCTGTAGGTAAACAAGTGATTTTATGTTCTAGTTCTTAAGCAGAACTATATTGAGTTTGGAAGAGAAGCTGCACAGTGAAAGTGCCCCCAGTTTACCATACCTTGCTCAGCTTGATTTGAGATAGATGGAAGTGAACCTCCAAAAGTTATACACTTTTCATTAGCTGCATTAAATGTTAAATATTCAGATTTCATCTTTAGAAAACACTGCAAAATAAACATATGAAAGGGTTTTTTCATATCTAAGAAAAAACTCATAAGAAAATGTTTCTAAATCAGCCTGAAAATCTCACTTCATTTCCTGTAATAAAATGTAACTATTTTTCTCAAAAGTATGGGAACCATTACTAGCTAGTAGAATAGCTAAATACAAAAAGTATTAATAATTGCACTGAGTAGCTCGTCATTCACAGCAGAGGATTAGAATTCAATAACTTTTAATCAGCTATATCAGGATCATGTACAGTTTGAAGAATGAGAATTCAGACGTGTTAACTGAAGTCAGACTGGGATGGCCAATAACCTTTTACTGTAACGCATTACCTTTTGCGAGAAACTAGATAGGAACTCAAAAGCTATATTCTGCAACGACTTGAAGTAAATTTGCAAGTCTTGGCACAATGCAATGTGCAGATTTGATGTACACTCCTTCTTATGTACAGGGAACAGCAACAGGTCACATAATAGGAATCAGCCTACGACTTCAAATGACTACCTTGAAACCTAGTACTAAAGTTTACTATAGTATGGCTGTTGATTTCTGTTGGTTCATTCTTAAAAATCTTCTCTAATTCCTAAGCAAGTTAAATCCTTAAGGTGACTTAGGAAGCAGAAATCTCATCCTTTCCTTTCTAATAATTTTTTTCTTCAAAGCAGAGCATGAGATCAGATAATAAAAACAAAGTTCTTGGATCTAAGTGTATGGTGAGGGGAAAATGAAAATCTTGAAGGTTACTGCTTTAAAATTTAAAAGCCATCAAAAAAGGACAGAGAAGTAGACGAGATGATTTTAATCACTGCACGCAGTTTTCAAAAGCCACCTTCCAGTTCATTCCTGAACACACTGGATACTTCCTTGCCTCTTTCAGCAGGGCACTCCAGCTTACTAGACTATTAAAAATAAGTAATGATAATTGATCAGTGTTTTTTCTGTACCTTATTCCGAAACCGAAGCCAATCCTTAGGGCAACCTCCTGTGACTGGGCGGTAACTGGGATCGTGTTTCTCCAGTAAGGAGGCATTATTTTTCTCACAAATGAAGGGCAGTTTCATGTTACAGTTAACTGGGTAGTCTGCAAAAATGTAAGTTTTAAAAAACAGTTATGATAATTTCTGTCATGCTCTAATTGCCACACATATCTTGACATGATGAAACGCAAAGCAAAGTCTTTTTCGGTGCAACTACAGGGAAGTATGATCCAACATAAAGCTTTAAACGCAACAGGAGAGCAAGGGACAAATGTAAATGATTATATCAGACAATAATACATCATTCCTAAAGGTACAGATTCTGATCTTTCTTCCAGCAGCTACACTTAACGTAAGTAGAGGTAACTTCAACAAACAAAAGATGAAATTAAAATAGTTTGAATATGAGGACATTTCTAGCATAGAGGATGTGTAATCTAAAGTCCACTAAAGCCAAAAGAAATTCTGAGTCTGTCCTGTAGTGTTTTACATGATTCCAGAATTAACTGGACTGTCTTCCTAGTAAAGTTGAATTTTTGGCAGAATAATGGGGGAAATGTGCTTTAAAGTGGAAATGATAATAGACATATTTAGTCTCTACAGGGTACAAAATTTTCCCAATGTAAAGCAATGTTGAAGAAAGGAAAGAAGGCTCAAGTACCACCAGATAGCATTTAAATTACTTCATGTACCTTTTCCAATATGACTCCACTACTTAATAAAATTTGCATCTCCAGCTGCATATTCAGTTGCAGGTATTCAGTCAAACTACTCTAACACCACTCAATTTCCAGAGCTCATAATATGTTGCATACACACAAAGAAGACCAATGAAACAGATTTCACGTAAATTAATTTATGTCACAGAAGGAGTGACAATCAAACCATAAAAAAAATTGTCATATGAATTCAGGTTTGCCTCTGGACATCAAGAAATATTATAATAGCTTCTACTATAAAGAAATAAATTATTCAAAATTGAATCAGATAATCATCAAGAAGCCATTCACTTCTAACTAAGCATCAGTGTGCATTTTTTTTTTTTTAACATAACAATGACAGAGAGGGGAGAAAAACTGAAAACAGCCATACCTCTGTACCAGTTCTTTCTAGAAACATACCAGCAATCCCTCAGGAATCGATCATGGAAGCGTGGAAATAACTGTAAACTGGATACAAACATTTCAGAGTCAATCTCCAATCCAGTGTGATCTTCAGGTGGAAACTCTGATAGCAACAGAGCCAGTACATACAAAAATTTGGGCTGGTAATTGTTTCTAGGAGATGCCCTACAACACTGGAAAGGACAGAGGGGGAGAAACTAGACTAGGAACAAACATGTGGTAGGTTCAATAGTTATATACCATGCCCAAATTAACTATGTTAAGGAGATGTGCACTACAAGGGTAGATTACTCATCGCATGCTGCAATTGCTAGCACACTGTGAAGACAAGTGAGGATAATGGTCAACAGCCCACATTTTTCCTTTCTAAAATGTTTTTGAAGTAGTATATCACTACAGTATTTTGGCAAATTAAGATTTTTGCTTATAGGGAGTTCATGATCCTTTGCTGAAGCCACAGACAGCACAATGCAAGGTTTGCTGTGAGGCAAAGAAAAAACTGGGCCTAAAATCCAATAAAATTATTTTAAAGATCAATTGCATTCATTAGCTATTAGGGCCCTGTACTGATTAATGATTCACATGACAAGACTAAGATGTCAAAGCCCAACAACCTGAAATCTATAGGACTGGAGAGACTTAGAAGAATTGGATTATGAGTTAAGTTGTTCCTTTTCATCCAAGTCTATTAATTTACGCACATACACATACAGTTATGTATAAATTGATGTTGATGCTTTGTAATGGGAACAGAACTCAAGCATTAGCAACTCATTAGAATATTTCAACAATATCTTGAAATATACTTACTTTGTAAGTATATATACATAACTGTGCTAACTATGACTTGCTTTGAGCACCACATAGTTCTCCTGCTCTCTCTGCTCTAGGTACTCTGTTGTCTATGCTTAGCATTGTAAGAGTAGGTGCAGGTCCATGTAAACAGATATGGAGAACAGTGTTCACCGAACAGTGCTGTACTGTTTCCTAGCTTAGTTCAAATTTATCTTACTTCTTCAGGATGATACAGAAGTGATCTTTTACAAGTTTGGGGATAAAACATTTTCCTTTAGAAACTGTTCTACCTAACTATATGCCTAAAAATGGCATGAAAAAAGTTTACAATAATAGATTATTCTACGTACGGTGAATGATAGCTGTAGCCATAATCAATAAACTTCAGCCACCACTTTTGTTCACTGTTTGATAACTGTGGGGAAAAAAAGAACAAAATGATATTTTACAATCCGTAGAGACTGATCTCCAGACTCCATCATCAATAAATCAGTAACAAAATTAATTTGATTTAAAATGACTTTTTTTAAATAGTGCAGATTTACAATTATTCAAGAATAGGAAAAGATACAGTTCAAGATGCATATGCCAGATAAACAGACACCTGCATCTAATATAAGAAAAGACACTTTCCACACTGTTGCATAAAGCTGTAAGAAATCTTGCATTGGTTTCATAAGTGCATACTACACGCATCATTCCTGCAAAATTCATAGCAGCAACACTACCAGGCAACCAGAACATCACTGCAAGCTGACCAAAGCTGATGTGGTTCCACAGAATATCTGAGGACGCCCCTCAGAATAATCTCATTCCTCCAGCAGACAGCTCAAAAATTAATAGTTTGTAAAAGGCTAGAGGTTTTACAGGTTAGATTCTCAATTTCTCCTGCTTTCTCCTTCCAGATAATTTCTCATTCTCAGGATATCAGGATAAATTTCATTAAGAGACTTTGCAAACTGCTAATTTCATGTTTTTGTAAGACTCCTTAGAAGAACGCACTCATGCTATGAACACCACAAACCCCTTTCACAACAAAGTCTGAGGCCAGCATGCATTTTAATTCTCTCCTTAGCTAAAAAAAAAATAAAAAAAATAAAAAAATACATGCTACCCCATACATAAAATTAACAGCTGGGACAATTGTTAGTCAAGTATTTGCAGAAAATGTGGAGCTTACATGATGGTCCTGTTATGGCATTTTCTATCCATTTGGAGATTTATTTTTTTTCAGTTGCTGAGGCTATTTTTACATTTAAACATCCTTTTACAAGACTGACATTGTATTCTCTTTCAATTCATATTTTGGTTTTAAAAACAATTAAAAACTATTAAGGCCAATAGGATAAAGAAAGAAATTAAGGACTAACATTTTCTTGTATTGGAAAAAACAGCAACAGTATTTCCCTGTAGTGAAAAGTATCTGTTAGACAAACTTCCTTACCTTTTCTATTTGAGATAGTATTGTCCTGAGTTTTGGGTAAGACTCCACAGAGGCTAGATCGCTATCATTTTTTTGACAGTAGGAAATAGCTTCTTGGAAGCTCAGGTTTTTATCTGGTACAAACCATAGCTCTGCACCATCAACAACAAGTGGGGCTCCATGAATTCCAATTTCATCTATACAGAAGAAGTATCACACGCGTAAGAAATCAATTCTGAAAAACTCTTTTTCTGAATGTAATGAGAAATTTCAATTTGACACTGGAAAAAAACACACTTATTCTTGCATTTGAATCTCTCTCAGAATCAAATCCTATCAGTCATGACCTTTGCTGTCACCAAAAAGATAATACAGTAGTAATATAACAAAACTAATAAAAGATATACAGTAGTAACAACTATATATATAAAGTGTTAGAATTCACAAAAAGTCCATTTACCTGGTACATACCACTCAGGTGTCTTTGGAGTGCTACCTGTTCAGAGGAAAAAAAGAACAGTCACTTCACATTCACCTTATAACGAGACAAATAATGGTCACAAATAATGGAAGCAATAGGTTATGCTTCTGGGTATGCATGATGGGGGGCAGAGGAGGAAGGAGAAAATTCATGCACAGATAAAATAGTCTAAAACAAGCTGATTCAAAACTAATGGGTGTATTCCATACCTCAGTCTTAAATGTGTGTGCTTTTTATTTATTTTTTTGTTTCCCTCTGTAAGAATTTGCATTTTCACCTCTGTCTCACTACAATGAGAAGCTTATACACTAACTTTATAGTACACTAACTGTACCAGAAGAACAAGCAAGAGGCTCATTCACCTAACGCAGAACCAGACTGTATAGCCAATATGCCTATAGTTACAAATATCACTTGGCTTATATCACCTCACCTACTGAGAAACCACTTTATGGCAAAAGAAAATGGGAGCAGTGATACTGCATCCGCCTCCTCATGGTCATTTTTTGATAAATCTATGAATACTTTAGGTGCATGTCAGTTTGTGTATCACATAGGCAAGGCATCTCAAGTACTGACTTCTAATGGTTCACAGAGAAAACAATAGAACATGGGTTGCAAAGCTTCTGCTATTGGGCAATAATGACCGTTCAGTGACAGATACCTTCTTTTCACTATTGAAACATAAAGAATACCAAGAAAAGTGATGAATTTCTGATACTTATAACCCTAGTTCTTGGTCATATTTCTTTGCTGCCTAGTTCATATCTTCTAATTTGATAATGAGCAATATTTCAAATATGCTTACCTCCTCTCAACTAGTTAGATGTATTTCACAAAAGCTGTTAACACAAAAGAACTAAAAACCCATCACTAAACTCTTTTTTATGAAATGTGAGTGAATGCAGTTTACCTTTCGTAATCTGGCAGACCCATTCGAGTTTAGCTTCACAATCAAAAGGCTTGACATAAAATTCCAGGTCTCTGCCCTCATGGAAATAAAATCTCCAAAATGATCGCCGTGAAAATTGAAAAGTCTGTATAAAAACAGGAACAGAAGAATCAGTTAATAGAGTATGGGCCTCTCTAATGTGAAATGAAACTATGGAATATCTTCAACAAAGTCAGTAGGTGTTATTGTGGCATCAGCCCCATACAACTTGAAAAAATGAACAGATACAACTGTAACTCTTTAAACTGTAATTCTACATGCTAGCCAAGATTGTGAAGCAGTTGTGTAAGTGGCTTAAGGTCATTCTAGGTATACAAGTCTATTCTTGCAATGTTGTTTCTTCGCTATTTTGTAGTACACACAATCTCATCTATGCTTATTATTGAATTATCTGCTGGAACTTCTTTCCCTGAAATAAATTTTCATTTCTCCTAAAAAGAAACACTCATCTGAATCCAGCATAGGAATAATCTTTCTTATCTAAGATTATTACAATCAACTTTGAGATCTGACTTCACTCTTGTTGATCTCTCCGATAAGGAGAATTTTGTATCATTTAGTGAAGGAACACATGCCTAGACCTAGCAGGTAGGGGAGGGAGGATGCTATATTCACAATGTTCTTCAGAGTGCTTTCCTCTCATCTGATGCTTCTATCAGCCTAATGTTAAAGATGACAGCTTCTCAGCCTGGGGTCACAAACACAAGAGAAAATATTGAAGACTAATGGCTGTGAAGAGAAGTAAGGGGATACAACTATTCTTTTAGCAGAATTGGTTCCATTTAGGTTAATAGAAAGGAGAGTATTAGAATTATCTTACAAAAACACTCAGGTAACACTTCAGAAAAGTTAAAGGCCATTTTACAACTCATGCCATCAAGACTGAAATAAGCAACGAAGAACATAATTCACTAGAGGCATGACATTTTGAATTAAAATCTGACACAGCAGTTACAGTCTATTTCACTAAGCAAACACAAGCATAAATACTCTATCCTAGCTACTGCATCCCTCTACTTTATGTTTCAATGATTTTCTTAACTTGCAGTTCAGAAAAACAAATCTAGATCTTAAAACTTGTAGAGTTGCGGGTTTTTTTTTTTGTTTGTTTGCTTTTAGACTCCATTTTACGTTCTTAAGTGTCACTTATAACGTTCAACAGATATATAGCATGCCAACATGTAATCAAGAACTGAATATCACTAAAAAAAAATTGTAGATCAGAAGTCTTATGACAGGTCATCATTAGCATAGCAGTCAGTTTGTTAAAACCGCTTAAATAAGGGAAATGCAATACGAGCTGTAGATTAATAAAGGGAACACTAGCAACTTTTTACCATACAAAGAAAACATCTCAGCAGTCAACCTAAATCCAATATATAGCTGGCAGGAATATTTTTTCCAAGTACTTTCATGTATAAATAAGCATGCTGTTATTAAAAACCTTTCAAACTAACCTTTAAAGCAGCACAATCTCTAGTGTTATATTCGTCTTCCAGAAAATCACGTGGCATAATAATACTAGTTACCTACAGGACAGACAGGAGGAAAGAACAATTACTTCACAACTATTTTTGCTAAAATAGTCCCCAAAGGTAACCATTTAAACTTGTGATCTCATTAAGTTTATCACTATTAAAACACACATTAAAAGGCAGTAACAAGATCAAAGAGTTTTGAGTCTGTGTACCTGTTATTATAGAGGGAAAAAAATAAATAAAATATCTCACAATTTCAGACAAATATATCATTTGCAGTTAAGAAGTTATTTTTGGAGAAGCCTGCTCTATCGAGAAGATGAGCTCATACCCCCACCACCCCTCCCTTTGCCATGGCATGAAGACATCTTGTTCTCTCCACTAGCTCTTAGATTTTTATTACTTTATTTTCATTAAAGTATTTTAATGTGATAGAGACAGAGATCAGGTTAACCTTATTAAAGTTATGCTTTTAATTGGAAATCTGCCTGGATGGTAGCTCTTAAGTGCACAATCTTCTGAATTACTCATCTGTTGAAGGATCTGCCATATCTTAATTAGAGGATTTATCAATTTATTTTCAATTCAGCCCAAGCTAAAACAAATGAGGACGTGACATTTCTTGGTTAACTTACGGGTTTATCATCACTCCATTGCCAGGTTCCCAAAGAATCTGGACTCCTCTTATTCATTCCAATCCATACCCATCTGTCATTGCTGTAAATAAACAAAGTAAAATCTTAAGCCAAATATATGGTTCAGTACATTTAATAGAAAAACTGACCTAAGTCATTGCGTTACTTAGGTTTGAGCAGCAAAGCCAAGAGTTTACTCCTGCAAATTGTAGCAGGTCAAAGAGGAAAACGGGCCTAGAGTCAAGGTCCTCTTCCGCACTTGTAATAGGATTTGTAGGTTAATTTTCTGCGTGGGCAGGGACAGAAGACTAAATTATGTAATTCCTTCATTCACTGCATCAGTTGTCTCTTGATATGCTCTTCTTCCAGAATCACACACTATTTATTTGGCTTGCTTCTCCCTGTCCGTCTCCAGGTCACCTCTCATCAGCACAAATATACTCTTCCTCAAACTACATGAAAACTTCTGCTTACACAAAGTAACTGACTTTGCATTTCCCTTACGCTTATCAGTGATATAAACAAAGCACAGGTACGTATTTCAACTGTGCACCTTCATAAAAGAGGCCCGTAACACCACTGACCTCAACACTTCCTTAAAAGAAAGGTGATAGATATTTGCTCCACTGTACCGGATTACAGTCAGAACTGCATTTTTACTTTTACTTTTTACTTTTTTACTAGATTTTACTTTTGGTTTTCATAAGAAAGGGATTTATAAACTGAAACTTTCAGTTACGCTGCAACACACAATTTGCTAAGAAAAAAAATGGGGTTTACAACAGAAATACTTAAATCTGCAGTAACAACTTTTACCATACTCTTCACCACTGCTTATCCAGGACACCACTGACAGAACGAAGTATGTGTCAGACTGCAAGTTTAGTTTTGTACTGCAGCCTTTACTTTTGGAAGTATCAGTTTGGTTCTAGCTACTGACATTTATGACAATTCACTCCAACCCACTCCCTTGCCCAAGAAAAGTAATAGATGATATCACCTAGCAGCAGCAGAGGAAAGATGCTAAGGTTTTTTTGTTTTGTTTTTAGAAGTGATATCACAGCTGATGTGAAATCCTACTGCAGTGCAGCAGTGAAGAAGGCACACTCATCGACATGTTCTGACAGAGATAATGAAGCATCAATGCCACAGTACAGGGCTCCTGTAAAACTTTATCTAGAGCACACTCCATCAATTCATGTTGCACCAAATACATAGAAGGATATTTGAGGCCATGCAGAATATTTGAGGCAATGAGAGTTAAGTTTATTTAAAAGAATTAAAGGTTTTCTTTTTTAGCCTTGAAAAACAGAGGGAAGAGTTATAATTGTTCTTTACATTATATTAGGACACTAGGCTCCTAGGAGGAAGAACTGTCTGAGGAAGAAGGACAATGTGTCTGAAGGAACCACAGATCAGAAGTAAATTTAGACTCAGCTGGAAACAGGTTTCTGACCAGAGGTCAGGGCTTGGAGAAGTCACCCAAAAACGTAGTGATGACAAACTATCAGAGTGATTTTAAGATAGAACTTGGCAACTTTATGTACATAACTTTATTACATGGAGGGAAGGACTTAAACCCAGGCTTACCAGCATAAGAAATTTTAAGAAATCCCGGGGCAACGTGAAAGATTTCTTTGCTAAGAGCGTGCCCCTGCCTTCCCACACACATCACCTGTAAAGATGCTAAACTAAGCATGAAATGGCTGACACAGCAGCACCAAGAAAATAACTGGAACAGCCTGGGAGATCTCAAGGATGTGTTTCCAAGACCTTTAGTATCAGAGTGGGAAAAAATAAAAACAACAACAAAACAACAAAATCACATTCCAACAGTGGGTTCATGAAAACAGATCTGGAAACTTGTCATAGGCCCGAGTCCCAAGGGCAAACAACAGCACAGCCCAGACAGAGTACACAGGCAAAGCACGTGAGAACCAGGAAGGGCAATGGCATTTTACTTGGTAGGGCTCCCATTAGGAAAAAAAAAAAAAAAAAAGAAAAACAAAAACAAAAACAGCAGCCACCAGTAAATCTCACCCTTCCACACACCAGCATTGATTTCTGACATCAGTGTGATATTGTGATCACACTAGTGTGATCTTACCATACTGAACAGTCCTTTAATAAAACTAAAGAGTCTTTAAAGAGCCTAAATGTTCTACATCACTCCAAAGGGAAAACTGTAAGCCATTCCCCAGCTGTCAAGCAGCTAAGTGGCTTTTGGCAATCTGCCTTTAGGATTTTGTTGTTCTGTGATTATTCTTTCCAATTATGAATCAGACACCACTTAACTCTCCCCTCCTGGTCATCACCTTCAGGCCTAATGCAGTTTAAGTAATTGATCATCACAGAGTAATATCCACTAAAAAGGAAGTTTGAGACACTCATTTCAAAAGGATTTGCAGCAATAAACTGAGGAACTAGAGCAATTTTTTCCCCGAAGTCTTTCAACTTGTATAGGCTTTTATGTAATAAATAAAATAAAATAAATAAATATAAAAGGTGTGCTAGGTCAAGTCCAGCCTATCTCCCAATTTCCAATGATTAATCTGCCAACAGAACAATGTTGCCCAGCTGATCAGGCATTTGCACATTAACATACATTTTTTCCTCCTTTGGAATTGTGCAGACATGAGAATTAATAGTTCAGTAACTGCTGTGCTATTCTTGATGACACTTAACCTTAAGTAATTACTTTTGATAGCCCTCCAAAATAATACTATCACTGCATTGCAAAAAAGAGTTCTACTAACCATGTAAGACAAGTATAAATTAAGACTTGCAACTGAGCTTGCAGTAAGGTATTTGCTTGTGTTTCAGTTTTCTGTGTCCTCACTGGAAAACATTTAAAATCCATCTCGTGGACTGCTATCAAAATAGATATATCACTGCCAGAGTATTCTTTGAGTTACCTTCCTGGAACTGCATCTAAAACCTAGGTTATCCTGAGTTGTAACCTAAAACGTAAGTGTGATTAGTGCTTTATAACAGACTTCACATTGACTAACAATGAAAGGCCCTAACCCTGCAGTGTTTTTTCTCTCACACAGAAAAAACAAACAAACAAAAAAAAAACACACATAAAGGTGCACAAGTCAATAAATTCTGTTTATATCAATGTGAATGTAATCTAAAACAGAATTTTTCTACTGTCATATTCCAACTGCTGAAATAGAAGAATTTTTTTTTGTCCCTTACGTCAGCTCCTACACAAGATTAAGAGCCTAAGTGAGGTTACAGCCTAACTCTAGATAAGAGGTAAAATATAACAAACATGCATAAGTCTGGGCCAATGCCAGAATGGCGCAATTTAAAAGGAGTGCTGCTTCTGATGGCGGTGTGCATGAAGCCCATTTGATTGCTGCTCCTCCCTCTGTAACAGGCTACTGCCACTGACCAAATCTCCATCCTACTAATCAGCCATTCCCTAGCAGAAGAGCAGAGAAGCCGCATTAACCCAATTACTACAGCTTGCATCTCATTTTTAGATGAGGTGTTGAGAGTATGATCAGTGTTTTCTTGCAAACTCAAGTGTTCATGAGGATTTCTAGATTCAGTGCAATTACACAAGCAGTGCTGTGCATATAAAAGACAATTGGTTTCTCTCAAGTAAGGTGTCCTCATTGAAATGTTATTTCTAACCAATCCAAGCTGTTACTCTCTTTGCATCCAAGGTCGCTGCCACGTATAAGCTGCAAAATGCTCAGAAAAACAATCCTAGAAGAATGAAAGTAAGTTACCAGGATCTGTTCGGCTTGTACCATGTCCCTTGAAGTTAAAATATGTTATCTCATATTTCTTTCAGACAGGAAGGCTGGCAGGCAAATTTTATTTTCCTTTCCAATGGCAATTGCCTGATTTGGCTGGAACAGTTCTAGTTCTTATTTGCCTCTAAGGTGGAATCTGAGTAAAGAACAAAATGGACTAGGCAAGCTGCCCTTTTCCTGGTGAACCAAACTGACTTTTGCTAACGTTTAAAAACAAACAGTTCTCAATGAGTCACTGGAGAACTGTGCAAGGGAAAAAAAAACAAAACCAAAAAAGCCAAGGTGTGGTCCTTCACTGAGCCAAAATAATTGCACTGAATGAATACTTCAGGTCAGACTTTGCACTGAGTAAACGCAGGACAAACTGCACACCAGTGAACTCTGGCAGCTAATCTCTCCTAACATTATCCTAGGATGATTTATCCCAGTTACCTGAACTGTCTGTTGTTCTTGGTGAAATAATTCACTTGTTTTTCCTCTCTTCTTTATCAAATGAGCTTATTTTCAGACAAGCTACCCATCACTCTTGATCTCTAAAATGCTTCATATAATCACCACTTCTGAGTAATTAATTTGAAAGTGTAACCAAATTTAACATTTCATTACATTGCCTAAACAAGCATTATTTAAAATGCTTTATCAAGGCAATATCAAAACTGTAGTATTTCTATTCAGGAAGTTCTGCAATGTTTCAAAAGAGGTTCATCCAGACAAAATACTGCGTTCTGGTTTGTATTGGATACATGCAGTTACTGCAACTCTGACAAAGCCAATTTATTCTGTTATTTGATATATTGAGCCCACTATATAAATATGGGGCAATATATTGCCCCTTGTTTAAGCCCTGCTAAAATAATACTGAAGTACTTGACCTTCTTTCTTTCAGGCTGTTGAGTTTCTGAAATATGGGAACTGCATAAGCATCATGTGTCAGATGGCTTTCCGGAATGACACAAATTTCCAGCTTTAAACTCCTAACCAGAAAAAGGCCATTAACTATAATTAATACTGGAGATAATCTTCAGGCTGATATATATTTCCAAATATTTGTAGGAATAGTAGGAAAATAAAACTAGTTAATTCCCTATTCATATTTGATAGTAAATTAGGCACACTAAAACAAAATCTGTAATTGCAAAACAGCATATCAAGATCTATAGCTAAAAATAATCGCTGCACTGATTTTTATTTCAGGCACTTTAGTCACTTTAGCAAAGGAGTCACAAGTGGCTTTTAACAAGCTAAGCCATCTATTTATAGAGCATATGAGTTTGGTTTTGTCTTTTAGTAACATAAACATTAAGTAATTTTCATGACTTGTGCACTTCTAAAAAAAGGTTCACTGACTTTTCAAGAAGGCATCTCTTCAGTCACCAAATTTTAAAATTTAATCACAGCATTGTACATTGGCAGCTTCTAAAATAATCCTGATTTTGTTTGTTGATGAAATAAATTAGGATCACATAACTGGCAGCATTTGAGTTTAAGCTGGCAAAAGTTCTGAAAAACCAGGCTGTCAATCAAAAAAGCATATTACACAAGGATCTGACATCACACCAGTGCCTAATAAAGCTTTGCAGTGACAGTTCCTTTGAATAAATAAAAAGCCTTAGATTCATAAATTATGTAGCATTTCATTTGTTGATACCAGAAAACTCAACACACCCATCTAATGCCCATATAGTGTTAGTGCCGTTATGCCAAATGGGATCTCTGCCAGCCAGATTGCTGGACACTACATTATTCACATTTTCAAAAAAAAAAAAAATAGCACCCAATTTAGTCAAGAAACATTTCATGAATAAAAATGAGACCTATTTGAAAAACTGAAATAATAACTGAAATAACAACTCATCTTTAAAAAAATGTATCAGTAAAGAATAGGAGCAGCTACAGTGCAGTCGTACTAAAATTCAGCATAAAGAAGGAAACAACACAGATTTAAATTTGAGCAATAGAAGATGCTCAAAGTAAATATCTCTTTTCTTGCATTCCCTCTAGCAATGTGAAACATTTGCCCAAGCTGTACTCCCGTGACATTTTCCAGGAAGGCAGTGACATGCCAGCAGTTCAAATGCCACATCTAGCTGTTTACTGTGGGAAACAGTCAGGGTACACTGTCTCATACTTGCCATTTGGGGTCAGCAGCAGCATTTACGATCTACACCCATGTGTGACTGAAATCAAAATTGTAGTCCATGGCTGTTTTGTTACCTGATTATTCTTCTCAGGATAGAATGAAGTGCCTTGATTTCTTCTGTATTAGTAAAGCTAGGAAGGTGGCCTCCTAGAGCTTCACAGAACCTTTCCGCCTCTTCCCAAGTCCTGGTTCGCAGCACTCTTTCACTGTGGAAGAACTTCACAACAACCAGCCATCAGAGTAGAAAATGACACGAGTGACAACATTTTTAAAACTCTGCTCTACTACTCAGATATGGACACCTCTTGTTGGAATGAATAACGCGTATCTCCATAGGGAGAGATCTTGATTTTAAACTTGACTTCTTAATTATTTTATTTCTTCCAGTTTGTTCAACAACAGCCAGACTTTGAAGTTTAGCTGACAAAATTTGTTTCAAATGCAACATATTCCATATGGCAGAATTTCTCTGTTTTTCTTTACCAGAAAGATTTTTAGAAAACAACACCCAACTCATTCCAAAACTGCAAGCCAAATTATGTTTTCAGTGATGGTGTTCTTTAAAACGTAGGGTGAACTGCAAAACCCAGTTTCCACTGACACCAAGCCCATTTGGGTGCTAAAGGTGAAAAAAGTTCTTCAGCACCTTCTTTGCTACCTGCATGTGTCAGTTTCAGACTTGGCTCATACACCTCAGCTAACATATTCACTTGATCCCCTTGACATCAGTCCAAGCCAATTCCCGTCAGCAGGATCTCTCTGCACAGACATGCTGCACTTGGTCAACAAGAGTTTTGGAGAAACTGCCAGAGCCAGCTGTCACACCCCATCGGCTGAGCAGGGACAACTATGCTGCACATCAGCAAGACCCACACATTTGGGATCCTTGCCCACAGCCTTGTTATGCGAGTTGTGTTTCCCCACTTTGCCAAATGAGCTGCGTATAGGACACAGTTCGTTGCAGGCACTGGATCTTGAAATAATGAACACACAATCCAATAAACAGCCTCAGTTTTACTTTGATTAGATTCTTAATAGTAAGAAAAAATGTGCACTTCTAAATGTGAATTTATGTAAGCCATTCCAGCTAACAGCATGACTATTTACTTCCACTGTTTATTTCAACAACAGTAAAATGCAACTGAGGCAGCATTTATTTTATTTTTATTATATATTTTTTTTTAAGAAGTTTGATATCCACATTCAAATCAGAGAAAATCTCATCTTCCCCATCTACACCCTTAAGAGTACAAGGGAAGGAGATTCAAAGCACCTTCCTTTCCTATTCCGGTGTCTCTCTGTGCTGGATGATGGCAATCAAGCACCCTCCATCAGTACTGGGCTCCCGAGATGGAAGCAGGAGGTGAATGCTCTCACCCCACTCAGCTCTAACATGCAGAGCTGGCCACAGATCAAGAGGGAGAGGCACGCTGCATCTTTTGAAAACCAGCACAGGATGAATGCCTCCAGATTTTCTTGTGTATCAATGTAAATCAGCAAGATTTTTTCCTCCCCGTGTAATACATCCTCTTTGAAATATCCTTCAGAGTAGTTGTATGACATAAAACGGCTAATCACATACTTGCTGCAAGACAGTAACAAACAACTAACATCCAGTAGGAATAACTTCTTACCTTGTAGCAGGCAAGGCCTGATCCATTGTGCCACCCAGGGGGACAGGGATCAGATGGCTTTGGAAGCACTTCTGGTTCCTTGGGCAGCCCAATGTATTTTTTACAGACAGAAAACGCTTTTGTGGTTTTACAGTCCTTGGTTTCCCACTTTCCAACAGACCTCCCACTGGGCATGGCCACACATCCTCCTGAGAACTCTAAAATGTAAGCCACCAAAGAAATATTTAAAGCTATTGGTTGGTTTTCCAAAAATACAAAGATTTCTGAATGACTATTTTATTTCATCCTTGGAGCCCCCTAACATGGTGCTCCAATGCTTGCTGAATGTAAAATGATAGCATTTTTACATTTTTATTTTTTAAATTGTTATGTTTACCTGGTTGCAAGGAATTCCAGTTAGTATATGTCACAGCTTCATTTTTTTCCCCATCCACTGCACCCCAGGAATATGTTCCTGTATGGCTAATATCTTGCAAACCAGTCCAGAAGTATTTTTCTTCAACTTTGGTGTACTTTCTAATCAGACTGTTTATAAATTCTTGCTCAAATCTGAAAATTCACAGATTAATCTCAGTCAGTATTTGAAAGATATCTGAAACTACTGAGTCAATCTGAAAACCAGGCATATTATTACATGAGTTAGTTCAAATGCTTGTCCAGGCAGTCCTGTATTCAATAAGGGGTCAGCAGGCTGGGAATTCAAATACATCTGAGAAGTCTTTATGCTGTAGGTTTGCCATGGTCACACCATGGAAAACAGTTTGTCAGTTCTCTGCAGTAGCAATTCTATGTCTATTTTTTCTGTCTTAAACCATTGCTTAGAATATGGAGGTTTGATGACTGCATCTCCAGGATCCTACTATAAAGCGCACAAATAAATTACAGAAATTACTTTACCTGTTTGTTACTGTAAGATTGCACTGTGATCCAAATGAAACTTCTGTTTTATAAATCGTGTAACAGTAGTTTCCATGCATCTCCCATCCCTGGTTAAAGAACAAAAAAACGTATTTAAAAACTTAACAACCTAATTTAGACATTATCTGCAGGAGAACAGAAATCACTGCTAACATTGGTTGGTGTCCACAAGCTGACAAGCATATACAAGAAAGAAATGCAGCACATCACACACAGGGTGCAGTATTATCAACCCTCAGATTCACAGTTCTAAGAAATAATGCAACCACAGAAATAAAATACACCACTGTTTTAGCTCAACTGTGCAAAGTCTTCTGACTGCTATGTGCATTTAGAGAGAGAAACACAAGGGTGACAGCCTAGTCCTATTCAAAACAATAGGAGTTCTGATGCTGTTCCACCAACGCCAGGATTCAAACAGAGGAATAATAAAAGGGCATTATTAGCATTTCTTTACTTCCCCCCCCAAAAAAATCCTTTATACTGAAAATGTCTGAACTTAAAAAAAAATCTCTTATTCAAATCTTTTCCCCATAGTTACATGGAAATTTCAAGGAATATTAATGTGCTCTTTACTAGCCTACCAATGCACTGGTGTCTGAACAGCACAGAAAGTTGTAACCACTGGCAGTCTCTGAAAAGACAGAGTAAGAATACCTCCAGGTTGTAAAGAAAGGAAGATACGGGGTAAATACACTTGCCTGTTGCAGGCAAGACACCACATAAAACTTAACAAAAGAATTCTGAAGTAGCTAGTGACTCCATCCCAAGATTGTTCAAAACAGAAAAGACTTCCAGACTTATTTACACTATAATATGTTACACGTAAAACAAACAAACAAAAAAACATAAAACTTTATTCAAGTCAACAAAGATGAGAGCCAAATGAAACATAGCAGAAACCTAATCTTTTTTATTTATCTTTCTCTGCACATCCTTACGTTGCAAGTGCTTATCCTAAATTAAAAAGGATGTTTAAAACAGAAACTAGAGAACAAATGGCATTAGCGACAACATACCTAATAAAATCAATTTGTTTTTCCAAACATATGAATTAAACACACCTCCTGAGTCCAACCTCATAACACCTTCACCCATAAATAGAGTGGCAATACATCCAAATCCTTCTTAGGAGAATCTGAAGACACACCAAATTTGGCTCATACTATAGAAATGTTCTTTTTCAGCCAAGATGTTCCACATGCTTTATTTTACAGGCATTAAGGAAATAGGAAGTAGAGAGAATAAGTAATTTAATACAGGCTTCTGAACTAAGTGAGGGTAAAAGATATGCAGACTTTCTATTACCTCATCATATGAGCAGCTTTTATCTGATTTTGTTTCATTCAAAATCTCTCCTCTTTTCTTACACACATATTTCAATTTTTCTTCACAGGATTTGACTCTCCACTGTCCCAACTGTCAAAAGAAAAGGAAAAAGTATTTAAAATACTAAAATATTTCCACAGAGCAGGAGCAGAGTTTTTGGAAGGGGGAAAGCCGCAATGCCTCAGTTACTCGTACTTGCAAGAACACTGAGTGGGATACCCTGGATTACATGCATAGGAGCATGTTTTGAAGTAAGAGAGAAAACTGACAATGTGGAGATGGGATAATTCTGGATCACAACTGAAAAGGAAAGAGATAGACAAGGGGAGTGCCAGCTCTCTTGTGGATCAGAGAAGAAACATGCACAGCTCATTGCAGAAAGCCTAAGGGCACATGAGCTTCGCTGGACAGCACAGCAAGCTCTTCCCACTTTTCTGCTGGAACTGGGAGGATGGGATACAGCCTGTTTCTCCCAACATTCATCTTTGAGACCTTCTTTCCCCCACCCACTCCTTGCTGCTTCTGTTTTCTCCCTCCCAGCAACTTTCCTCATCCACTTCCTCTTCTTTCACCAGCATATCTCACTACCCACCCTTAAATGGGGAGGCCCAAATTGACCCTGGAAGTGACTGAAGCCAGCTTCTCCTCTCAAAAGTTGGGCCCACCTCCTTCCCAGCTCTCTGCCACAGACAAACAAAAATAGCATAATCCAAAACTCCAAGCAACAGGGACAACTAGTTGGTCAACAGCAGTGGCAGTCTCAGAGCTGTAAGCCATTTCTTCTACTCTTTGTGGCACATAAAACTATTTAGCCAGCGCTTCTTAGTTAAGAAGTTCTCTTTTAATCAAATAGTTATCTGCACTTTAAAGATTATACCAGAAATAAAATCATTCTTTTGATTTACCCCCCTTGACTTTCACACACAATGTTACCTCTACTATGATGGAAAAAATAAAAATAAAAAACCCAACACCATATTCCTACCTTGCCTGAATATGACACACAGTTAGGAGTGATGTTAAAAGGAACTTTTGGTTCATTCTGATCCCAATATGTAAAATCCACAGCTGAATGATCTGACCATTTGAACAAGGTTGGTACGTCTTTGTTCCTGAGACCCATCCACACTTCTTCTTTAGCATCTGTAATTTGAAATTAGGGCAACACAGAGGTTTCAGAATAATCCTTAAACTAATTGGAAAGGAGTGATAAAAAAAATAACTTTGCTGTTCTCATTCTACTTAAAAGCATAAATGCTGCATTTTTTTATTACAATGAGAAAGAAAATTTGAGACAAGCATAATTTATTTTTAAAATCATACATGATATTCATGAATGTGAGCACATTTCACAGAGAAGGTAACAAACAGGAAAAAATACAGAAGATAATGAATACACAAGAAAAGAAACTCAAACAAAATCTTATTTTTAGAGTGCAGACAAAAACATAAGACTACAAAGTACAGATCATGTTTGTTAGTTCAATGACCCAGCAGTCAAATATCCAACCCAACTATCTAAGATTCTGTTCAAACGAGAAAACTGAACAGGTATTAGGCATTGGGAATTAGGCAAGCTGGCCCATTCAATATATAACTACATGAATAAAATATATTAAATTAAAACAAGAGCTAATTCAGAGGGACAGGACCTGACACTCAACAACAGCCTGCATACAAGCTCAGCATTAACACCTTCATTTAGAGCTACAAGTTCTCACTATCATATGCTGGAACATGAAAAGCAGTTTGTAATTTAAGATGCACAGCACTTGGTGCATGACTTTTACAAGTATCCCAACTCACCATTATGAAGCTTTGTAACAACCAGTTCGACATCTGCCAAGGAGTGTACGCTGATGAGGTTACTCTTATTTGCTTTGCACAGTTGATCTGCTGAACTCCAAGGAACCTGGTTGTGTATCAGCATGTAGCAAAAACCATTGTGGGGAAGCCAGCCCGTATCGCATTGAGTATCCAAGTGTCTCCAGAACTCTAATAGTGAAGAGAAACTGAATTAGAGGCTTTTATTTTACATTGACTGGTTGGTATTGGGTTGGTATTTTCTTAAATCTGCCAGCACCCTGAAAGCAGACAAAGTAGCAATCAGAATTTATTCACAGATAAACAGCATGACTCTCTAGGGCTGATGTTTTAAGAAAGGGTCACAATTTAGTCAAGCAAATAAACATGACTGAGCAATATTATGGGGAATAGTAGCATTCTGGGGCCACAAGGTGGGCAGAAGGAGAAGGTAGTTAGTGGAAGTGAGTAAAAAGCTGGAATTCTTACTAAGCTGGTCTTAGTATAAGTGAAAGTTTCAGAAGTAATTACATGTAACATTACAAGAGCAATTAAAGGCAAAGCGAGTTACTTCATTGCAGGACAGCAGCTTCAACAAAAAGTTGCTTGTTTTGCTTCAGCAGGGGTTTGTACTTTTATAGGGCATTATTATCCATATTTAGAGCAGTACCATGAAAAAGAGCAATACTGAATAACTCAGAATGAAAGAAATGTTTAGTTTTAAATAATTCTTATTCAGAAACCTAAGATATTCAAGAATTCAGACTGTTTTTATGCATGCTGAAAAAGGTATATGTTAAAAACTTTCCGGTTTCAATATATAACATTCTCCAATCACAAGAATTTTGGTTTCTAATTATTAAAACAGTATATATAAATAGTGCTGCCATCATCACATACCCCAGTGAGGAGCCAGAGAACAGATGTGGATCAGTGTTAAGATAAAAAAAAAAAAAATCAGATTAGGTACACAATAACTAGTTTTTAAAGGATAATTTATAAATTTGAACCAGTTTTAGTTAGTTTATATGGTTTATTTTTTTATTATTTTTTTTTCTCCTTAATGGCACATATCTTCCCTGGAGTAGCTGGAAAGAACGTGTCATAGACAGAGACACTATATGCCACTTTTCACCTCCAGGCCACTGTTTCATTCCCTTTATCCTCTAGCTCTACCCCTCACTCGAGGACAATCATCTTCCTGTGAAAGTTTCCTCATGAGAGCACCGCACTTTTGAGCCCTGGGAACTGGGTATGGCCACAGCACCAATGGACATGGACAGGCCGTGGACATGGGAAGAAGAGTTGGACATCCAGATGTAGGTAAATTGCCAAAAGCGTGGCAGAAGTTATATGTCAGAGCTGGACACTGTAACAACTGAAGCTGTGTGTGTGTGTGTGGAGGGAAAAAAGAATGAGGCTTTAAACTGTTCTAGTTTTCCCCATTGTGTTACCAACTGCATTTGCAAGATAAAAGTAACAGATCCAATAAAGATTACACACTGGGCGAATTACCAACTCTTGCACTCTTGATTTCCAGTGCTGGGCTTGTTTTCAGAAGATGGCATGGTCATTTAATTACTTTTATTTTAATTCAACAGAGTTTGATCCAGGTCCCAGGTAGGTCTCATTTTATGTTAAAAAACTCCAACAGTGAGAGAAATGGTCTTAATGCAGTGATGAAAAGCTTTGATGTGCAACTGCCAGTTCCAGACTTCCAGCTGCACATGAAAAAAAGCACAAGCTATGGAGAAAAACATGATGAAAAGGGCAGGACTGTGCTGGGAAATGCTTTATGTGTGAATGAGAAAGCTGTGAAAAATGAAAGCTGTTTGTGATAGATCATCTTGAGACTGAAGATAGAGAGTTTGATTCTGCTCTGCTAAAATACTCAAAGCTGCCGTGAAGTGTTTTGGCAGAGATGCCTATGAAGGCTTGGGAAGGAAGAAAAAGACTGCATAAGTGAACATTACTCACATACTGACACACAGAAACAAACATACAAGCTGTCCTACCTGGGAGGCTTGAAGCTTCATCGAATGGCTTCTTGCAAACATACGGAAGTTGAGTCCCACAGTGATAACTCTGCCACTGACCTGAGGCAGCATTCATCGCCACACAGCTAGTTCCATCCAGAGGGGACAAACTCTGCATATCTACAGACAGAAAAAAATAAAAGACCACAAGTTATCAGTGAGCTTTTCAATGCAGTAATATATGCTGCATATTACAGCACCTTGTATTTGAAGAACATAACTTGCCTTGAATGAAGGCACCTGTTCTGCCACAGGTCCCAGAGAAACTTTTTTGTGAGAAAGTTACAGAACCAAGGTATCAAGACTTCCATTCCAACATTTAATCATCTAACTGGGAGGAATGTTCTATTTACAATACAACAAAGCTTTGGCTGAGCACTTTCCCAGACTAGAAATATCTCAAGGGAGAACCTTTTTTGCAGCTCTCAGTTTCCTTTGGCAGCCTCTTTCCAGACCAACTCCAAACACAGTCCTGCACTTTCACAAATATAACCATAATTCTTACCTTAACAGACAAGGCCCCAAATCAAAAATTTTGCATAGGAGAACTAATTTTGTAGTCCCCAGCTTCCCCTGAAGCCCCTTCCAATGGCTTCTCTCTTTTGGCTCTCTTTCTTTGAAGCCTAATGCAGATCCCACCTGTGCCCCATACAAGGCACCTGTTTCCCTTTACTGAGTTTGTTCAGCCTCACACAGAGAGGTCTCAGGGTAGACCTTAGTTCTTTATGCAAGAGGAGACAGGACCAGGCTTTTTTCAGAGGTATACAGTGAAGTGACAAGAAGCAAAGGAGACAGCTTGCACATAAAAAATTCCAGGTAGATATTCCTAAGTATTTTTCATAACAAGAGTATTCAATAACTGGAATAGGTGGTCTAGAGAGGCTGCAATATCTACATCTAAGGAGACACCTAAAGTGTACCTAAGTGTAGCTGGACAGGCCCAAGCAACCTGATGCACAGGGCTCAGGAGCTGGACTGGGAACCATCTGAGATCCCTTCTGCCCTGTAGTTTTAACTTTTTGATGACAAGATTAGTCCATCAGCTGAAATAATACCGTGGACTTCAGAACATATTTATTACAATTTCATACCTGTACATTTAAGCTAGAACGTCTCAGTAACATTAGTCAGTCTGCTAGGACCGCAGACTAAACTATCCTACTGTATCTCAGCATTGTCTAGTCTCTAGCACTGCATTACAGTCCCAGTGTCACCACAGCTGACAAAAAAAAAAAAAAAAAAAAAGAGACTACATTTGGAAAATCTAACAGACATTTCTCTGCAAGTCTTTAAAAAAGTAACAGAAACCACTTCTCTTTTCACAGAATTAATGTCACAGCCTAATGGAATAAAACTATTCTAGAAACTGAAGGAAAAGAGAATTCCATTTTAAAAAAGGTCACATTCAGCTTGAATGACAGAACAATGTTAGCTACAGTATTCCTGACTATTACTCCCCCAGGATTCTCATATATCAATATCCACACCATATTTCTGAGAATATTACAAATACATGCTGAAAATTCTGATCAAACAAGACTCTCACTGATTCTACAGGAACTTGGAAGTAATTAGAAAAGGGTTTTCAAAGGTTTTACACTTCTTTCATCTTCACCTCAGAACAACTGTAAGCAACTTTGAAGACTTCTAGGTAATGTAATTTCTTGCACAAACATCAATCATTGTAATATATGAGAGAAGTCAATGCCATCCTGTCAGTGTGAGGAGAAATTTAGCACTTAGGGCAGCAGTAGCCTTGTTTGCTAAAACGGACCTCAAAGATATCATTCAAGTTATAGATTTCCCCTAATATTCCATAAATAGAGAATTAGTGGAGAAAGATTCCCTCTCTAGAAGGAAAGGATGCCTTCTGAACTTTTAACAAGTTTTTTTTTAAATAGAGCAATGATTGTTTTGATGAAGTCCAATGAAAAAGAGAAGAGGAGAAAAATAAAAAAAAAAAAAAAGAAAACAGGGTAATGCTAGTTTTTGTTCTAAATATTGTTAACACCACCAGAACCATTACCTGGATGCCAGTTGACAAAATTCAAAGGCTTGTGATCTGACCACTGCCAACCTCCAGAAACGTCCAGTTGATTTAAGCCAATCCAAAAGATCTCAGCGATGTCATCTTTACCTGGATATTTATTATTATTCAAGAAAACAATTAGTATAAAATACTCAAACCTTATTGATCTCCTCTAAAATAGAGATTTTATCTAAAAGGCATTGCATTAGAAGACAAAAAACATTGCTGCTATAATTGGATGTGCAACTTTTCTTGAACTGATGAGGAACTCAACCACTTGCCTCTCCTCTCAGTGCCTCCAGGAGTTTGACATCTGATTTTATATTCTCAAAAGCACACTGATAGTTCCTCCAGGCCAAGCCCGAATATCAGCAAGAACAATTTCACAAGATGCTAACATGCTGCTAAAACGCAAGTGTAATAAATGCGCATACAACCCAATGAACTTCCACTCTGGCCCATATTTGAGATTTTGGGGACATTACTTATATATAAGAACAAGAGCTAGCCACTGCAACAAAGTCACACAGATAAACTTAAAAGCAAACAAACAAAAAGAAACCCATTCTTCTAAAGTGAGATCAGCAACATAGTTTTTGTTAAACTAAGAAGAGCACCAAGGCATTTAATCACAATCAAGTTTTAATCCAGGATTTAAAGACAGAAACTAAAATGTTGTCTTCACTGATGTTACTTAACAACACTTCTTAATGTTCATACGTGAATAAATACACCTACCTTGTACATAACTTAATTCAGACGCATCTTGGATGCTAAGTAAATCTCCCCCTTGCTTTTGACATGAAATATAAGCTTCCTTCCAAGAAAGAGCAGACTGTGTATTAAACTGGTAGCAACTTTTAGCCCCCGGATCATGTTCCCAGATATCCTGACAGCCATCCTCTGTTTAAAGGAAGCAGAAGGTACTTTTAACTATGCCTATAATGAAACATCAGGAACGTTTCAGAACAAAAACTGCAATACTGAAACTTTATGTATTTTTACATTGAAATCACATACTGCAGAGTAAGTGCGTGCTGTCAACGCTGCAACAGAAACGTGACCTGTTTTCACCCAGCTTACCAGCAAGGTGTTATGCCAAGGTGGAGCTGTATGTACATACGTGAAGTGACAGAATGCTTGGAGGACTATTTAAAAACCCAACACACCTGGTTGTAAGCAGATTCCCCATTTTCCATCATGAGTATAATCTTCAGATGTGGCGCACCATTTCCCACCCGTGTGTGTTTCATCCTGAATGCAGTCATGATGCCAGGTGTCATTATACAGAAAGGGGAATTCACAGGGTTTCCCATAGGAGTTCCCATCTTTGGTATAAATCTCTGTATGGGGGAGAAATAAAGTAAAAATTAGTAAAGGATTAGATACAAGTTGCCTGGGAAAGCAAAAGGACACCAAATATATTGTTATTGCTTGTACAGACATAGTTAATTTCAAAGCACCCAAATCACACTTGTGGACTTAAAACACAGTATCTTGTTGTTATAGATAATATGCAGCAGTGCCAGAACTGAAAGAAATGGGAAGAAAATATTTTTCTGTACTTTTTCTTCTGCAGTGATGCATAACACATTGGAAATGTGCTCCCCCCTTCCTGGTGAGTCAGGGACAAATACATTGTCCTGTTGAAATCCAGACAGTTCATGCAGAACACTACAGGACAAGGTTATATTAATCAACAGACACAGAAGAGGGAAAACTTATTGCAAACTGAAGCCTACTGGGCTCTTCAGACTGGCCACTTTGAAAAAAAAATATCAAATATAATGAAAATTCTCCTCTCAAATAGAGTAAAGCAAGTTTCTATCACTTCTTTCTGCACGCATTAAATTTTAGATGAGTCTGGCTTCCATGGCAAGTGAATAGACTACCAGAGTAAAACAAACAGGGTTCCAAAGAGTCCAACAGGCTGAGAACTGACAGCACATGCTGAATTTGATTGTACAGCCTACCAGCTGTACCAATCCTACTTTTAAGGTAACAGAAAATTTCACATCTCTGTGAAGAGGACAGTTTCAGTTCTGATACAATGTGGTTGATATTTCATAATAGGTTGTCACAAAAATACGGGGGTGGGTTTAAACATGCTGAGAAAGCTACTTGGTAACACAACTTATCCAGCTGTGTAGATATATGTATTTTTTCTTAAAATAGTTAAGATTCAACCTTGAATATCAGTATCTCTCTACAGCAAAACATTCTATGTGATCAGTCTTTTCATATAATTAATTTTCTGAATTTATTGTCATAAATGTAGAAGTAAAAAAACAACTATTCTCCGTCCAAACCCCAGTACAAACTTACCATGGTAAGGATACCGACATATATCATCAGAGGAATTGTTGCTTCTCCACTGGTCTGATGCGTTTATGCTTGCAGTTACAAAGTTATTCACCAAAGTCACCTTGTACTGCGATGCACCAATGATAGAAGCATCAGCACATCGCCACCACAGCATTAGTTCTGAGTTACAATCAACCATTTTCAGGCGAGATGGTAATTTGGTGACTATATCAAGTCCCAAGCACTGCCTGGATCCCAGATGAAAAAGGCGATTCTGGGATACCCATTTCCATAAAGCTTCACTTGTCTCTTTGCAGTCATCCATCAGTATCCATGACTTTTTAACTTGTAAGCACTTGTTCAGTCCATCATGGCGAATGGTAAAGGCATTGTTGCCTGGGTAGGAACAAATCAATATCCATGTAAGAGTATGAATCAGTATTACTTTCAGAGGAAGTTCTTTTAAAAAGTTTAATCACATTCTGAGGCACACTACCAGAAAACTAGAGTGACAGCTCTTTTTACATTATACTCGGTCTCTTACTGCAGCTTACCAGTAAGTACATATTCCTGCACTTTAGCAAGTATTCTTTACTTCAGTAACAACAAAAAAGTCTCTTCCAAAGTTATTATAAAACAAGGGGATAAAATGAGGCTGTTTTCCAAGTCCAACTCTATCAAACAAAAATCATCTTTTAATTATAACACATGCTGATTGGATCAATCTCTAATTAATTTGCAAGCTTAGTGAGTTAAGAATTTTGTCTTTGATGCAAATGCAGTAACACACCACAGGCAACATAAAATATAATTAATAATAATCCTCAGTTAGTAAGCACTTTCTTTTCTAATCTGTGTACCGTGTATGACTGATAGCAGGATGGGCTCACGCTTGAACCAGCTCATGGGTGCAGCTGCATCATTACTAAAAAAACTGGCATTGCTTTTTGAGGGAGAGACTTTTCGAATGAATATTCAACTCACTGCAAAACTACACAAGAACAAAATGCAGGGCCCCTAAGATTCCAGACAAAGCATTAGGAGTATCATTTTCAAAATGATACAGAAATGCTAGTTCCACTTTCAGCTGTGACTTAGCTTGTCCCTTAAAAAAAAAAAAAAAAAAAAAAAAAAGAGCCGGCAAAGCATAACATTTAATTTTAAAGAGATATGGATCACCAGAGATATGGATCACCTCACTGATACAAGCTGATGCCTCTGACAGTATAACACCACTATGACAAGTGGCAGTAGGTTTAAGCTAGCCAGGAAAAAAAAAAGGCCTAAAACTATTTCTATGCCACAGTGAAGATGGCCCCCCAGTATAAAATGTTCACTAACCAGGCTGAAAAGGACCTCTGCTGTCCCAGACCCACAAGGCTATTACTCTGCTGCTTAAATAAGGAATCTGCTGAGTAGTGTTTTGTATTTAATAGTAATGCACTGTCAATCACATTCCTACTGCGTTTTTTTAATATGACTTAATAATAGGTTTGGCTGAACAGCAAGGAAAATATTCAGTGATGTTATTCAGTGAATTTTACCACTATTTCCCAGTATACTAGTGTATTTTCCACTGCATAAGTGCCAAATAGTCTAAATGGTACTGAGCTGGTCAAACTGTAAAGAAGAATCTCTAAGTCAGCCACCACCGAGGTGGCTTTTTCTAAGTGCACGTTTTAACCAACCCTCTCTTTCATCCTCTTTATTAACTAAGTAAGATATTTTAACCAGCCAATCCTGCTTTTGTGGTACCCTTTTACCCTGTGATTTTGCAACACTTTATCTTCCTTTTGCTTCTTATTCTCCCCTCCAGACTTTCATCTCCTTTTCAGTTTCTTGCAACTTGCTCTACGCCTTTCCCCAGATCTCCCCTTTCCTCATTCTTCTTTCACTTCTTCCTGCATAACCTTCGCTCTTACAGCAAGAGCAAAACCACTGCTTTTTAGAATTTCCCCCCAAAAAATCCAGTTGTCATATCGGACCTCTCTTGTGAGGCGCTTTTTGAAAAGCAGTGCTTGGTGCCTCCCACTCAGCGCCCTTACCACGAAGCTTCGCAGGACACCTTCAGCTACAAACTCTTCCCAGGTAGCTTCACGGGGCACTGTCAGCTACCAACTCTTACCACGAAGCTTCACAGGGCACCTTTAGCTGCAAACTCGTGGCGGGTCGCCTCACGGGACGCGTCCAGCTGCACCCGCCGCCTGTCACCGCAGGGGTCGCAGGAAGGAGTGAGGTGGCCGGGCAAGGCTCAGGGCTGGCTCTGCTCGCCACCAGCCCCGAGACTTTCCCTGAGGTGCAACCCCCCGAGCTGCTTCGTGAAACACGAGCCTTGCCCCTCCGCACCCCACACCGGGCGAGCCCCAAAGCCGGTCAGCCCCCACACACACCTCAGCGGGAGGCCGGGCAGCCTCCTCACGCCCCGTGCGGAGGGAGGAAGGCCCGGTGCGGAGCGGGGCAGCCCGGCTTGTCCCCTCAGCCCGGCTTCTCCCCTCAGCCCCCTCAGCCCCGCAGCCGGCCCGCCGCGCACCGCAGGGCCTCCCGCAGCGCCCCGCGGCCGCGCAGCGCCGGCTCCCTCCCCCTTCAGCCCCTCAGCCCCTCAGGTGGGCTCCCGGCTTACCTGCGGGGTCCCGCCGGGCGGCGCAGCAGACGAGGAGCCAGGCGAGGCCGCAGGCGGCCAGCCCGGGTCCCGCCGGCCGCCTCATGCTCCCGCGGAGCGGCCGCGCTGAGGGGCTCGCCGTGCCCGAGCGTCGCGCCTGCCGCCGGCTGGCCCGAGCGCCGAGCGGCCGGCCTGATTGGTCCGCCCCCGCGCCGCGTCACTTGTTGCCAGGAGAAGAGAGGCTCCGGGTTTGAGGCGAGGGGAGGGGCGGGGTCGGGCGGCGGCCGCGGGGTCGGGGCCGCGGGGCCGAGCCGGGCAGGGCCAGGGGCGGCTGTGCCGGGCGGAGCGGAGTTAGCGAGGGGCATGGAGACAAAGGGAAGGGGGCTGCGGAGAGGGGGAGCGGGAGAGAGAGCGAGGACAGGAGGCGGAAAGTGGAGGAGAACGAGGGGAAAAAGAGGAAAAGTGAAAGGAAAAAGAAGCGAGGGAAAAAAACGGGCACAATCGAGGAAAAAGCAAGAAAAAAAATCGAAAAGAAGACCTAGTTACCTCATAGTGTTCTAAACAAGCTAACGACAAAGTGATTAAAGTAGAAAGGAAACTAAGTGGGAATTCTAAACGGACAAAAAAGTGAAGTAAAGAACCAGACCTAATTAACAAGTAGCAATTAAAGATAAACCCAAAGCTTTACAAAGGTTCAAGGTGAAAGAGTATGTGGTAAAAGTGAAGAAAAGGCAACAGAAAACAGAAGTAACAAGTAATAGCAGATGCTAAAGTGAAATAACTGAAGGTGGATACAAACACACTTTTTATATAGGCCACCCTGCAGCCCTCGCTCCCTCCCAGCGCCAGGGCCATGTGCCAGGGCCTGGTGTGAGGCCCCTATGTCCCACAGCCTGTCCCCACAGCTTATCCCCACAGCCTGTCCCCTCAGCTTGTCCCCACAGGCTGCAGGTAGGGGTCCCTGCCCTCCTGTCCAGCAGCCGAGGGCCCCAATGTCCCCTGTGGGTTGCTCTGTGGTGTGGCCATGCCCAGGGGACACGTCTCCCTCCTGTAGGGACACCCTCAGCAAGGCCACTGAGTCCTCCCCTCCTGGCTGTCCCAGACCTGTGCTGGCTGTGACACTGAGGAGGGAGCAGAACAGTGGCAGGCAGCCGCGATACTTTCTAAGAGTTGGCGTTGTCAAGTAGCTAGAAGCTAAAATTGCAGTGAGCTGGTCTGCTCCTGCCAGGGAAGGGAAAGAGGGAGGAGAGAAAAGGAGCAGTTGAAATAGTTATTGCTGAGAAAATTATGATGCTGAATACAGGAAGTTACAGAAACCAAAAATAAAAGCACAAAGAGACGAACAACCAGTTGGCCTGAAGGAGGAAAAGAGAAAGAAGGAGAGCTGACAAAGTATGTAAAATAAAATCGTGTCTGTTTATAGCTCTGTGTTCTGTGATTCAGCGCTGACCTGGAAAGGCTGTAACCCCAGCTGTGCAAGAAAGCACTTGCAAAGTTGCAAGGAAAAAACATTTTGGCTAGAAAAATCTATTTTGATTTGGCTTAGAGGAGAAGTCATTCAGGGAGAGAAACAGATCTTCACGAAACTGGGAAGGGCAACATGCAGTCTGCTTTATGTGTTTCAGATGTGCCCATCGCATAGGAATCTGGCCACCCGGGGAAGGCAGGAGTGGAGGGTGTGCCGGACTGGGAATTGAACGGAAAGAAAGTGAACAAAACCAGGCATCTGTAAGTAAGCAACTGTTCTGTGCTGCTGGAAACCGCAGAGCCAGACCTGGCTGCGAAGGCAGGAGCTATTCTTAAGATCAGAAATTGGTTTCAGGCAGTGAGGGGTCCATAGCCGCAGCAAAACTGAAGCTCCTCTACCAGAAAGTGTTTGTTTTCTGGAAGAGCAAAGCACTCACGTCTCAATGCAGAGAGTGGGAGGCAGAAATTCCCAACTGGAGGGTCTGATACAAAAGCAAGCTATTCAAACTAAAATTAAATATGCGGTGGGGTACCGCATATACTTTTTAAATAAAACATCATAATGAGAAGCACCAGGTGTGAACCCTGCATCCCCATGAATCTTTCCAAATGAGTGCTATTTCTAATGTAATAACTGACTGTCCTGGTTTTGGTGTAAAGAGTTTAACTTTGAAACTAACAGCATGCAGTACATATTTACTGAACATATACCAGCAATTTTGAAATTAACAGTATGTTATTTACCGAACATGTATCAGCAGATACTTATGTTAATACAAGGGAGGTTCTCTTAAGACATGTAAATTTATATCGCATCTACTCTTCATTGTGTGCTTCCAATTTGATGTCCTTTTTCATTTATCTGCATATATAATACCATGCTAGATAACACAGGATCAGGCCCTGATCCTGACTCAGAAATTAAAGAATGCCAAAGGATAGTAAAGATTGCTGTTGAGCTTATTGCTGTTTCAGTTGCATGTGCATGTGTGTGCCCTACACTTACACTCTCATACATTAATATAAAAGGAGATACACAATATACATCTTTTGTAAGCCTACCAAAATACATCCTTTCCCTCTGCTCCCTGACAAGCAGCAGACAGATAAGAATATATAGATTCAGATCTCTACTACTGCTTTACTTATCCAGCACAATCCAGAAAGACTGTTTTGATGACAGAGGTTTCAAAAATAGGAAGCTATAGAAAACCACAGTGTCCATTGAGATGTATGCAGTAGTTTTGCTATTTTTTATGTCAAGAATATTAAAAAAAAATAATAATAATGAAAAAACACTTTTTTTTTTTCTTTTTTTTGAGTGTCTTCTAATAAGATAAAAAACCTTATCACAGCACAATGTTCTGGTCTGTGGAAATGATCATCTAAAAGCTAATCAGCAAATTTGTGGCTGTTAACCCTTCAGTGGGCTTGGGAAGCATCTCTGGCTAACCAACTTTTGTGCACTCTGATGCCATGCTGTCCCCCACTACAGCAAAGGACTGGCAGTCTACCAGGCAGCCTGCACAAGGCAAAGTCCACAGTGACAGCACTGATCTCTGTAGGACACACTGATCAGGGCTAGAGGAATTAGAAGGATTTGCATGCTGGAAAGTACTTTTTGGGTGGAGCTGCATATGTGGCAGTCAAATAGCAAGGCCAAATATTCCTTGCAGCCAGATGCTCCCAAAGACTAGGAGTTGAATCCCAGGAGCTCAACCAGAAACCTAAACAACCTACCCAGAAAAACCAGCCCCTGCATCCATTACCAGACTACCAGTTGCCACCAGTAGCTTCCAGCCTGCCTGCTTCTGACCTGAGTAGAGTCAACAGCTTCTGTTTGCATAAAGAGTTGGTGCACATCAACATTTATACAACTGCTTATCCATTTATGGTATTAGTTCTGGGTAACGCTGCTACGGGCAACTGGAGAACAGGACTTGGAAAGTCCTCTCATTCCTCTCCTTCCGTGGTACAGCATCTTTCCCTGTCCCCAAAAAGGTAAAAAGCTCCTACACATTTCTTCCTAATGAAGCCAGCTTTCAAAGGCAGTATCTCAAACAACTTTTCCTCTGCTGAACTTCCTGGGCCTCTGACCTAATAAATGTGCCTCTTGCCTGTGGAATACTATTGCCCCTCTCTTGTCACTTGTGTTTTAATTACATCAGATTTTAAAAAGGAGGATGAGAAAGTATTTCTTTAAGTTAGATGGTTGTACATGGAATATTCACTCTGCAAACAAACAAACAAAAACAAACAAAGCAAAGCAACAACAACAACAACAAAATACAACTAACCAAAGCCAAACCAAACCAAAACCAAAACAACAAAAAAAAAAAAAAAAAAAAAAAAAAAAAAAGCTGTATTTAGGAGAAAACAGAGAGATTTAGGAGAGAATTATTTTTAATAATATTAAAATCTGTGCATTTGTGTCATATGATAACCTATGAAAATCTTGTACAGTTTTCTGCTAATTGAAAAACTATTTTTGTGCCATAACTTATCAAAATTATGACAATGTCAAAACCTAATTTTTAAAGGATTTATCCTAGCTTTGTCAATGAGGTTTCTGCATTTAATGTGAGCTGCACAGCAGCATACTTACAGCATAGTAGGTAAACATTGAAAATCACAAATGTAATCATGTCCCCATGAGCTACAGCTCATTGCAAAGCAGCACTAACAGCAGAACAAACTTCAAACATGCCTGAAGAGAAAACATGCCAAATAGAGAACTTCGGGTACAGAAGGGACTCCACCACAGAGCTGACATTAATGCACAGCAGCCTTTCCTATTACTCTCAAGCCGATGACTTTACCTTCCCAATCAAAAACCCTTTGGAGATACCAACATTGTGACTTGTACTTGAGCCTTGTACTTCTAGCAGGGGTTTTCTTGCTCATCAACAGATATTTTCTTCGCTTTTATGTCCATATGTTTATAACAATAGCATTACCTGCAGAAAGTGTCAACAGCTATCTACCCATAAATCTCCACCCCATCTCTTCTGCTCACCACATTAAATAGATACTTTGCCTCAGCAGCCATCCTCCCTCTTTTACAGCCAACACTTTGGCAATCTGGTTTTTCTGGCTAGGTTGAGCGCATCCCATGGCAGTGAGCACAAAGGGAGTGCTGGAAAAGGATTTGCTACCTCCAGCATCTCCCCAGACTGGGAAGTCTTTGGAGATGATATGTTCTTCCCCTCTCTGCTCCCCCCAGCAATGACTTTGAAACTGGAACATCTGAACAGGGAACAAAAGTTGTTTATTACTTTTTGCACCTTGCAACATCAGTGCTTGCAATACCCAGGCCTTCACAGAAAACAAAACAAAACAGATCAGGGCTTAAGAGATTTGCAGGAGCAGAAAAAGTCTTCATTCCTACCTAGGTTCTGCTGCTAAGTTTAATATTAAAACATGTCTCTGATCTTAGTAGAGTGCCTGCTAAGTCTTCAAAATACCAGCCCTGGAAACATTTAAATAATGGAATAGAAAAGCAGACAATTGCAACTTTTACCATAAGTGTAGCCAAAAGCCAAGAGATTCTTTTTTGACACATACATAAGTCTGGTTTAGTTGAGTTAATCCCATGTGGCCATGGAAGAATAATGAGTAAAATTGAAGGGTGAGGTGACAAGCATCCAGCAACTGATTTGGATTAAGAGGTTTTTAAGCAATACCTTTTGGTTTTGGTGGTGGTGGTGTTTTGTTGCTGTTGTTTGTTGTTGTTGTTGATGTTTTTGTTTGCATTAACTCCACCTGATGGTCTTTATCTTCATGGATGCTTACTCTATTTGCCAGCTTGCTTTTTTATCTGGCTGTTGAGAAGAATTATTTTTAAACATTAAAGAATATTTAACTTTTAGCAAAAAGGGAACACAAAGAGAAACGGCATTTCTTTGTTGTAGTTTTGGATTTCCTGTTTCAGTGGAAGTGGCTTACCTTTTTAGCATGTTATGAAATCATCCTTTCGCACAGTAAGCTTAAGATGAAACCGCACACTCTGAATTTGTATGTGTCTTGTGTTTCTTTAACAATCTGAATGAATCTTTAGCACAAGTTCCAAGGTTTTGAGTTTTTAGTTGTGTTTAAATGGTCTATTTTTGCTAGGAGTCCTTACATTTGGTTCTCTTAAAGTTTCATAATAAATAAATAAATAAATAAATAGGCCTGGTGTTACTGTTTTAGAGACTGTTCTTTTTCAGTCTACACAGAAACATGGTAGGTTACTTCCAGAATTAATAAAAAGGAATTACAACACTTCATCCTAATACCAGCCTCCTTTTTTACACAAATTTGACTGTGCCAGCTTCTACAGGGCTGCCTGCAGCTCTGTCCTGCTGCATATTCAAACTCAGATTAGACAAGGTCTCCTGAAATACTAGAAACAGGTTTGAGATATAAGACAAAAAAAAAAAAGTCATGTGGATGCATCCACTCCTCTGCATCTTGTCTGTTTACAGTGGGGAATGTCTTTCTGTGTGTGTTGGTTTGGCTCTGACTCTTGCTGGGATCTCTACATGCTCCTGGAACAACAACAAAATAATAAAAGCAGTGCTTTAACATTCAGAGAAGTGCTTAAAACCCCAAAGTAAGTGGTGAATGATACTCTTTCGTAGCACTTTAAGAAAGGGTTTCTGACACCTGCATTGTGGCTTTTTAATGGAAACTGTGTTTCGGTGCAGTAGTTCTACTGACAGCGTTAATGTGTTCAATCTTCTCAAAAGCCACTTTCTGTTGGTACTGTGCCAATGTAAGATTATTTTTCAAATAATGTTTGAGGGATCTGGCTACTCAGATAATACTTTTGCAACACTTCTGCAATTTATTGCAGAAAAGCTTAGTTTGGAGGAACGGTTTAAAAGATAACCAGTTATAATTTGGGAAATGTTTTTAAGCAAATAAAAACTAATCCAGGTGGAAGGGATTCTAAAATTAAAGGGTGGTGTTTTGTTTTGGTTTTAATCTTTAAACATGCAAAGCAGGTGAGTTTCCTAAAAGTGCCGGAGTTTTGTTGCTTGCCTAAAAAGCCTGTGGTTTTGGTGCTCACATGACATTCTGGAGGCAGCTTGTCAGAGGGAAGTTGATGATGAGACCTTCTCCGGCAGTGCTATCTCTACTATACTGTGCGTGACCAGAAAGAAACAAGTTTTCAAAGTACAGCTAAGAGGATGGTATAAAGAGCAAATTTCACATCAATCCGGATTTGGGAGCATATCTGGAATTAAAAGAGCTTGCGTGGAAAGGATGGGCTCACAGGGGGCTAAGCTGCTGGCATTTAAAGGCATGAAGGTTGTGATTAAGCTATAAATCGAATAGCAGCCTGTGTGGGGAACAAACAGTCCAGTATGCCATGAACAAAGCCATAGAAATTCTGCCTTTTTGACTGTAGAAGAGACCGGGGAGCAGAAACAGGGAACAGAGAACAAAGACAGTGCCTTTCAAATGGGAGGTGAGGAAGGAAATGAAACCTCCAAGTAAACATACTCTTACACAAATGCTAAAAATCTAATGAATAAACTGAGGGAAATCAAATGTCTAGTCTTGCAGGAAGACAGTGACATACTAAATGTGTTGGACATCACAGTACCAGGACATAATATACATACAGAATATGTAAGAATCACTTCTGCTGGTCATAGGGCAGGGAAATTTGTTAGTGAGCTGCTATAATCAAATCAAATGAACAAAGCAGGAACCCAGCAAGTGACACAGGCTCTGCGTGGATTGAAATGCCAGCTTAAAGCAGCTTAATAGCAATGAATCTGCGGAAACTGCGCTTTGGGTAACCGCCGTTGACTCCACCAGTACCATTTCACAGAGCAGCTGGATGAGGAAACCACAGAAGAGATGCAGACCTTCATTTGGTCGTCATTAATGTGCAAGATCTTATTCTAGATCTTCAGCTTATGGTAGCTGTTCCTGGGTTTATATTCCAAATTCCTATGGGCTTGACAAAGGTCAAGCATTCGCAGCAGCTACGCTTAATTTTAAAGGAACTGAGACATAGAAATGAGAAAGTTTGTGAAAAGGAAACAAAAAGGAGCAGCTAGAACCAGTAAGAACACAAAACACAGCATCGGTGCGTGGTGAAGTCTTCAGAAGTTCTGAGAGGAAGCAGACACAAAATAATGTCACCACGAGGGAGGTTATCAGAAGCAAGAAGTTGAACACATCTTCATATTACAACAACAACAACAAAACCAGAAAGGATCATAGAATCACAGAAGCATCTAGGTTGGAAGAGACCTTCTAGATCACCTAGTCCAACCTCTGACCTAGCACTAACAAGTCCTCCAAAACATAACACAAAACATAAGAAAACACACTGAAAGAGCAATAAAAACTGTGAACAATTAGGAATTCGAGCTAAGAAGAGCTCTGACCAAGCAGACGACCAGATTATTGGACCAAAAGACAACTGCAGAGAAAAAGAGAAGAGAGAGCAAAAACTTTGCAGAGAAGCTAAATGAAGCATTTAGGTGTATTTACTGGAATAAGCAGGTGAGTCCCGTAACTGAACCCTCCTTTCTGGGGGAGTCAGCAGAGCCTGCCTGAAACAGGACTGACTGGGAAGAGCTGTCATCCAAAACACGCAGAGCAACAAATCCCCAGGACTGTGTGCGGGGCACCTGAGCTTCCTAAGGGAGGGCAGTTAAGAAGGAGCAGATCTGCTAAAGACAGCAAAACCAAACCAAACCAAAACAAACAGATTTCTCTGAGCCTGGGGACTGCAGGGTAGCAGTGTGACAGCAATCTCTACAATTATTCCAGAGAGAAAAAGGGGAGGCAGGATGGGTAATACTAAAGGCCAGCAAACCTGACATCTGTTCCAGGCAAAGCAGCAGAAAGTGCAATAAAGGCTAGAATTAGCATGCACCTGGATAAATATGATCTGTTTGGGTGGTGCCAACACATCATCTCTAAACTTAGTATTTACCTTCTAGGCTTCCTGAGGGTTTTTTGATGAGGTCAGCAAGCATGTGGGCAAAAGTGATCCGGTTGATACGGTCCACCAGTGATTTCTTGATCTGGATGAAAGCTCCTACTTGTGAACAAATTAGCAGATGCTCCTAAATGGAATTTGCTCTTCCCTGCTTTCTGTTGATCTGAGGGGGGGTTGCTATAACAAAATTATTTGTACCTTACTTTTATCATTACTGCGAGTGAGACTGAAATATCTTTTGTTATTACCCACAGCTTACATGAATCTGAGGCTTGAACAAGAACTACCTGTCTGTGACTCAACACTCACACAACGAGATAAAGTTTGTGGGTGGACAGTGCATACAAATGAGTTTATAGAACTTCTGTCTGTGCTTGACACCACGGATAAATCAGGGAGAGACTATGGGAGTATTGCTATCAGCTTTTCATCACTGCACAAGTACTGCTGGTGAGCTGGTTTTGTGTACTTGATGCAGAATATGAGAGGGAGAATTTGGAAGAAGATAATACAGAACAGCACAGATCCCTTATGACTCAGATCTGCAGTGCTCTGCACATGCACTAACTGTGAATAAGAATTTAGACAAAACTTAAAAGTAGGCTTTAAGCTATAAAGCCTAATTATTCTGTATTTGGTCACTCCAGAGGCCACCTTTGATTTCTATTGTAGAAACCTTCAGTCATGTCCAAGCTCAGCCTGTTTCTGGCTTTGATTTCAAAGCCCAATTTTTTTTATAAAAACAAAACAAAACAAAACAAAAAAACTTTCCAAACACATTTCAGTACTGACTTACCTTCCTTTGCTAAGGCTTTCAAGTAGTAAGTCTGCTCTTTATGGTGTCTTATAGAAGACTGACCTTGGAACGCTTGAGTAATTTTAGTTCTATTTTTCAGTGTCAAAAAAAAAAAAAGAAAAAGAAAAGTAATACCATATAATCACTAAAATAACTAAACAGTACTATTATCACTTTCTGATTTGTATATGACTTCATTATTAATATACCTAAATAAATTACAAAATTCTTTAAAAAAGAAAAAATAGTGAGAATGAATAAAGAGTTATAGTAACAAAGAAAATGCAGTTGTATATAGTGAACTATTTAATTCATGCTCAATTAAATAGCCTTATTTCTTTATGGAGATTTTTTTTTTTTTTGCAAGTAATATGCCTATAGTACTAAAACATCAGTTGTTACCTATGTCCTACATTTCACTCTGAAGTCCATATGTTTCTTAAAGTTTGTGCATATTTCACAGGGCTTGGCCACACAGAATAACCTGGGGCCGGATAGGCAGCATTTAAATAGACAGTATTTAAATGCCTTGGGGTGTACCTGTGCCCCATAGTTAGGTCCCATTGCCATGCATGACTTTGCAAACATCAGAAATCTCTTTACAGCCAGTGGACCTGGAAGAATAAGATGCTGTTGTAATGAATGCAGGTAACTAAGTCAAAGAACCACAGGATCTGTAGAGGTCATCTAGCGCAATCCCTTGCTTAAAAATAAATAAATGAATAAATTTCTTCTGTTTAAAAAGGACTTCCTGTATGTTGGTTTGTGCCTGTTTGCCTGTTGTATCTTGTACCTTCATTGGAGGCCACTCAGAAGAGTCTGGCTGCATCTAAGTTACTCACCCCAACTTTAGTTATTTGGGTAAATTGATAAGATCTCCCTGAGCCTTCTTTCCTCCGGGCTGAACAGTCTCTCTCAGCCACTCCTCATATGACAAATGTTCCAGTCCCTTAATCATCTTTGTGGTTTTTGCTGGGCTTGCTCCACCAAATCCCTATCTTTCTTGTATTGTGGAGTCCAGAGCTGGATCCAGCACTCCAGATGCATCTCACTAATGCTAGGCAGGGGGGAACAACCAACTCCCTCAACTTGCTGGCAACTCTTCTCCTAATGCAGCCCACGATGCTGTTGGCCTTCTTTGCCACGAGGCACATTGCTAGTTCATGTTCAGACTGGCGTTCACTAGGACTATCAGGCCATTTTCTGTAAAGTTACTTCCCAGCCATTTGGTCGCCAGCTTAGGCAGTTACCTGCATTCATTGTTTTGGTGGGGCCTTACTCCCTGTTGTAAGATTTAGCATTTCCCTTTGTTAAGCTCTGTGAGATTCCTCTTGGCTGATTTCTCTGGCTTGTTGAGATCCCCCTGAATGGTAGCACAACCACCTGGTGTACCAGCCACTCCCAGCGTTCAGCTGTCTGCAAACTTGCTGAGGGAGCACTCGGACCCATCATCAAGGACCATTAATGAACATGTTAAGAGGCATTGACCCCAATGTTGACCTTGTGCCATTGATTATAATCTTTCAGGGCTGGCATTTCAACCAGTTTTCAATCTACCTCCCTGTTCACTTGTCTAGTCATCAGTTTGTTAATGAAGATGTTATGGCAGCTGGTGTTGAAAGCCCTGCTAAATCAACATGATTAGCATCCACTGCTCTCTGCTTGTCCACCAAGCTGATCATTTCATCACAGAAGGCTATCAGGTCTGTCAGGCATGGTTTTCCCTTCATAAATCAACACTGTTGCCTCCCAATCATTTTCAGGTCCTTAATATATTTGGAACTTGTTTGTGGAATTATTTGCTCCATCACCTTCCCAGGTATCGAGGTGATGCTGACTGGCTTGTAGTTGCCCACATCCTCATTCTTCTCTCATTGATGGGAGTCATGACATTTGCTTTCTTCTAATCCTCAGGAGAGTTCTCTGATCACTGTGGCCTTTCAAGGATACTTGAGAGTGGTCTCACCATGACATCTGTCCTTTGTATATATGGATGCAGCCTGTCACATCTCAGGGACTTGCTTATGTCCAATTTCTTTAAATGTTCTGATCTTTTCTACTGAGGATGAATCTTCATTGCTCCAGATGCTCCCAGTGTTCTCAAGGGTCTGGGATTTGTGAAATCAAATCTTATCAGTAAAAACATAAGTGAAGAATACACAGGTCTTTTCTGTGTCCTTTGTTACCACCACACCATTCAGCAGCAAATCCACATTTTCCCTAGCACTGCTTTTGCTCCTGATACCCCTGTACAAGTCCTGACAGTGCAGTTATTCAGATCCTCACTTCTCCCTAAACTTTGTCAACAGACTGGTCCACTAGGGAAGCTCCCAGAAGGAGCAAGAGAAGATGCTGCTGCCCCCTTTTTAGCAAACACATGGGCAGTTTGGATACCTTTGCTATGGGAGACTCAAATGTAATCCCTTTATCTAAGAGGAATCTGAACACTGCATCAATCCAAGTGAATTTAGTAACTACTAGACTAAAGCATGTTCTCATTGGAGCAGATCCACTTAATTCAAAGCATAAAACTATTTATTAGAGCACAAAGACAAATATAGGTCTTCCTCTTCCCCACAGATGAGTACTGTTACTACTGGAGCACTGTCTCATATTCTTGTTGTGACCTGTTGAATATTTACTTGTTGGTATAAAGTCCAATGGCTAGACTATGTTCCCCCTTATGAATCTAGCCCTTGATGTAATAATCTGAAGTCTTCAGAAAGACAAAGTGCTAAAAGTATATTATTTTTAACTCTAACTCAGGCATGAATGCTGAATGCAATTCTAATCCTACCTCAAAAATAGAATGATCCAGCCACTAACTTCAGAAATGACTCCCTACGGCAACAATAACCGTATTTGTTAAACCTAGCATTTATCTTTAACCTTTATTCTCACACACTTTTATAACCACACGCACTGCCAGAGAGGACATGGCAGACATAGCAAAGTAGGAACGAGCAAAAGGCAAGCTGAGAGTCAGGAATTTAAAAGCAAAATTTAGTGGAGAGATCAAGTCAGAGTGTACTTTATTCATCCAGCAAAACATGTTTAAACAGAAACATTGGGCACAAAAAGAAAGCATGAACAAACATAGTGCTAGGCATCACTTTGAATTGAAGTTGACTTCATTCAGTTTAGTTTTATAAACAATACCATGGATTTTGAAAAATTGTTAATGCTGTAATATAACACCGTAACAACGCTGTAATGAAAAAAGTTGTGGACAGTAACCTTGCATTTTAACTCAGTATGTTACTGAAAATACAGTTAGTTTACCCACTTCATTACACTGTCATTTTAGCTCCTTCCTCTTACTGTTATTAGCCAGAACTGAGAATAAAAGTTACTTTGAGTTTAGTTCTAAAAAAAAGAACTTTGGAAATCAAAACTTACGAAAAATTTTCTGGCAGAACATGTGTCTGTCTGTCCTTAGGAGCAGGCTGGACACGCTGATGGACTCAGGTGCTTCAAACTGTTACTGCAAGGGGGGGTTCCACTTGGTGATAATGCGGTGGTTTTGCAACTTGCATGGTACAATCATTTCCCCTTGAAGATCTCCAAAAACATTTTTTTTTCCTTTTTGAATATGTGGAATACCCAAAGAAAAAAAGAGGTGAGTTGGCCAAGGTGATGTGTTAGTAGCAAAGCCAGGAAACAGAGCCTGGACCTCCCCAGCTCCCAGCAGCAGGCAAACTCTTCTGAGTACCCGCCACCAAGCAGCACAACAGCAAAATGCGTGGCTTTCCCTTTCTCTTTGCCAAGTTTTTCTATGAAATAGACAGCTAAAGACTGGTTGATGCTTGGAGTCAATGGCTGACCGCTGCTCTCATGTCATTCGGCCACTTGCTTGTCACTGCTATCGCAACTACCTAAGCAAACAAAGAGCAGTGTGTGACCACACATGTTCAGCAGTCCACCTGCTGGATTTGGTTGGTTGCTGGTTTGTTCTGTTTTCACAAGGGCGGGATTAAAGCAGCAGGACCCACAGTCTAAGGTATCTGCGACAAATGGCACCTTACCAGCAGGAGTCAGGGCTGGGCCCCTTCTGCACAAATTCCTGTCAAAACGTGTTGATTTCCCCTATGATCTTCAAATTTATGGTAACACATTAAGAACCTCATTCTTGGTCACTCTGGGATGCTTGAGCCTAATGCTTCCTGTCACAAATACTGTAAGCGATCACTTTACATAAGCAGCTCTAATTTCAATCAGTCGTGGGACAGGCAGAGCGTCCTGGAAAGGGAACACTTTGTAATTACTTCAGTTCATCAGTCATAATAGCTGTCAGAGTACACACACAGACAAGTTATATCAAAGCGACTAGAGTTGCAAATAATCAGAGAATGGGCAAGCTTAGGAGGTACTTTGCTAATTACTCTATTGCCTGCTGGATCGTACTTTCGCTAAGCCTGTAATACCACCTACAGCATTACCAAGTCAAAAATATGCACAGCTCTGATATTAAATTAATTGGTAAGCAACTTGGCTTTAAACAGCTTGCTGAACAATAATGAGATTTTTCTCTAACAATCAGATACCTAAAATGACTACACGCTGAATTACGGGGAACAAAACAAAAATCAGCTCAGTATCCCACATGATCTATTTGTTTTAAACAATAACACATTCTGTTGCATCTATTTTGGCACTTACTTGCTAACAGCAGATGTCTCTGTGCTGCAACCAATGTATCAAGCAAGGAAGGATCTCCAGCATGTTAAGCAAATGGTAAAAAATGTTTCTAAATTTCTTTCCTTACTCCATCCTTGTTTTTGTACCAGGGTATTTGTTTCTTTAATTTTTTTTTTTTATTTTTTTTTTCTTTCCTGCATCCATGTCATGCTGTAATTATAGCCAAGACTGGCCCCAAGTTAAACATAGAACTGCACAGGAATTTGGTGTCGTGCCCAAATTTAACTCTTCCTTTCTCCTGTCCCTAAAACACCTGCAATGGGATAGAATACCTGCACGTGCTATATGGCCACCTCTGGTGAGGTTGGAGAGGAAGCATTGGAGTAAGAAGCAGTTGGAGGGAGATAGAAATATATCACAGCAGAGCCTGCTGCCCAAAGACAATTGTGCTTTTTGGGTTTGTTTTACATTACTGCATTAGGTGTCTAAATATTTATCACAATGTCTTCAAAATAACCTGTTCTAAAGCAGAGTACAGAGTTTGATATTCCTCTATTCTTTATACCTGTGAGGCCCCGACCCCCTTCTTTATTACTGCAAGGTGACCAAGAGTCTCAGGCTTATTTCAACCTGTGGGCTGCTGAAACATAGTACAGGGAGAAAATGAAGGCTGAGTTGTTATCCATTGTGAGGCATTCAGTCATAGAT